ATTTCTCGCTTGCAAATTATTTTTTGCATATGTTATAGGAGGGATTATTTCTAAATATATATTTATTATTTATGGAAACCATATTGAAAATCGTTGGTCTTCCCCTTTAACCAACCATATTTCAGTGTGGGAGATTAAAAATGAAGAGAGTATATATTTAGTTTTGGTAGATATTATAGCCTCTAGTTATAAGAATCCAGTAGAGAAGTATAAATACAGGCTAGAAGTTTCTCTCTAAACATCACTGAATGCCTCTTATATTGACCTTGAGAATATTGGTGTAGGATATAACAAGGTCGAGATTTACTTGTTACCGAGTGTGTTTACTAGAATCAGCTGACTAACATTCTGGGATGTTCATACTAGTCAACATATTGTGTTAACCATTATTATTGACTTTAGATGGCTTAACATGTGCTGGAGGAATATATGTAGAGTAGGAGTTGTTCACAGTGATCAGAGGTTTAGGATGTAATAATTTAATATTTGCAAGTTTACTTTTTTTTTTTTTAAAGTGCCAATGTAATGGGCCATATGCATTAGTCAGATCTTCATCAAATTCTGCACGTTAGTGAATACTACTGGTATACAATAATTGCTGTGTCATGTACATATAGTTACTCCGATGTTTGTCAGATTCTACATTTTGGTGCATACTACGTAATATATTTTTAAAATATTTTTTAAAAAGACTATCAACTACCATGATTCGAAATATTTATGTTTAAAATTTTCCAGAGGTTCAGAATTGGTTGAGCTTTTCTATTTGGCACTTGAAGTTAAAGGATTTAGAAATTGCTGATTCCAGATATAAACTTACTGTGTAAAAGGTGTAAAAACAAATGTTTTCAAAATAAAGTAGATTTACCTAAAAAGGAAAAGTGATACAAGAAAGAGTTGTAGAGCTACTCAAAACATCAGTTAACTTAGTGCACACTTTCTCTGGTTGGAAGATATCTAAAATCAATACCGGTATTATTATGGTTTTAGACAGAACTTTTAAGTTATTTAACAGGTATTAATTAGTTCCAGCTACCGTAACTGTTGAACAGGAGTGATGCTCTTGAGTAATCAGCCAATGTTGAAGTTGCACGTAATCAGCTAATGTTAAAGTTGCACGTAATCAGCACCTGTGAATACGATCAAAAAGTTTCAGCAAATACATATACTGTGGTTACTAGTATACTTTTAGCAAAAGTGGTGATAAACAAACAAATATGTTACAAAGATAGAAAGTTATTGAATCTTCTTCATTCTTACAAGTACATCTAGATGTGATCTAGTTAGGTATTCCAGATACATGTATGCTGTTCTAAAGTGGTAATCAAAGTCAATTACTGACTAGTAGCAATATTATCAGATAATTTGTTAGTTTATATGCAGTCATTTTGGAAACAGGATCACAATTAATTACTCAAATATCAGGAAGGAAATAAGTTGACTGTATTTGAATTATGAATACAGTTTATTATTTATTTCTAGTCCACCAAATTAATTTTTGTGAACGTTGTTGAATACATGTAGAAAAGAATGAGAAGAAAGTGGAGAAAAATCGGAAAGAAGATTTTATTCAATGACAGACTTTCTTGTCACCTAACTGTTGTCTGGTTTAAAGCCTCATTTAATGGTTGTTACTAGCTAGATGTAGGTTGAATTCAGTTTTATGATCTGTTCAGTTACAGTGAATACACTCAATGAAAACATTCATGCGCAGCCACAGAGACTCAAAGTTTAAACCTTCTTCTAAGTGTAATATACCGGTATTGACAAGATGAGTATCAATCATGTGTGAGTCGTTTCACTAGATGGTTTATTTGGGGTGTAAGTAAGGTACACTTTATTCACATAAAGAATTAAAACAAATCCTCTGACTTTTACTCTGTGGACTAGATCTAGATGTTCAGTTGTGTTTTTCTTTAATCCAGCTGTGTTGTGACAAGCAGTAAACGTGGACTATTGGAAACATATTAACATATCTCATTATTTAAAATCCTGTATAACATTGGAAATTACTTTAAAAGTTCATCTTTAGACAAATTTAAAGATGAATAACTCTGCTGAATTATCAAGAAAGATGTGGGGAACAGGTATGATTTTAAAACTAGGTTTTTAGCGAAAGTAGCCTCTGTAAAGTATTTGGGAGATATTTTAGAATCTGTCCAATCTATACCGTAACTAAGATGTTATATATGTGATCTTTTTATTCACTGTACATGTCAGTACATGTACAGCTATAGCATCAGTGGTTGACACATTCTAAAACCTTGCCAAAATTTATTTTTGAGGCATATAAGCATGATTTGTCATAAATCATGTATTATTTTGTTATTAGTGATATTTGTCCAGTTGATAATTGAATTATTGAGAGTAAAGCAGGATTTAGAATTTGTGATTTCCAAAGCTGTGAATATCTTGGGAGATCTTTTGTTGAAATTTAATTACTTCTTCTTACTTGCTCATCTTTTTAGTTTAAGTTTGGAATTTGTATTGTAAGCAGCCAAACTACAACATAATATTTGTCCCCCTCAAGCTGCTAGTTATTTTTAGGTATTTTATCTTGGTAGCACAATTTACCCAAATGTACCCAAATCTACCATTATTTCATGTGGACGTATTATGCAGTTGCCCCTTTTTTGTCCGTCCGTCCGTTCGTCCACAATTTGTTTGTGGACACTCTACAGGTCACAATTTTTATCTGAATTCAACGAAACTTGAAATATAGGTTTATTTCCCTAAGATCTCGGTTCATTTCGATATTGGCATGTAGCGGTCCGTAACATCATGGATTATAGCCCCTGATTGTACGAAAAATCACGTTTTTAGCTTGTGGACACTCTACACGTCACAATTTTGATCCGATTTTGATGAAACTTGAAATGCATATTTATAACCCAAAGTTCTTGGTTCTTTTCGATATTCGCGCATATCGGATTGTAATTTCCTGAATTATGGCCCCTAATTGTACGAATAATTGCGTTTTAGCTTGTGGTCCCTCCAGAGGTCACAATTTTTATTAAATTTATAAAACCTTATTAATATATCACTGTTACACCGTATTGAAGGTTGAGTTTGAATTTTGTGAAAGTGTGACCAAAACTGCCGGACAAAATGGCCGCCGCTTGTACGCGAATAGTGTAAAAATATGGTATATCAAGGTTGTGGACCCTGTAGAGAGAGGTCACAATTTTAATAAAATTTTGATGAAACTTGAAATACACTTTTATAACCCGAAGATCTTGGTTCTTTTCGATATTTGCACACATCGGATCGTAACTTCCTGAATTATGGCCCCTGATTGTACGGAAAATCGCCTTTTTTAGCTTGTGGTCCCTCTGGAGGTCACAATTATTATCCAATTTAAAAAAACGTATCATTATATCCCTGTTACACCCTAAGGACGGCTGAGTTTGAATTTCGTGAAAATCAGCCCAAAACTGACAGACAAAATGGCCGCCCTTGGTTCTCAAATAGTGTAAAAATATGGTATATTATCAAGGTTGTGGACCCTATGGAAGTCACAATTTTAATCCGATTTTGTTGATTATATCACCATTAAACCGTAATGAAGGTTGAATTTGATTTTCGTGAAAATCGGACCAAAACTGCCAGACAAAATGGCCGTCCCTCGTACACAAATAGTGTGAACATCTGGTATATCAAGGTTGTGGACCCTCTGGAGGTCACAATTTTGTGCCGATTTTGATGAAACTTGAAATGCATGTTTATAACCCAAAGATCATGGTTGCTTTCAATATTCGTGCATATTGGATCGCAACTTCATGAATTATGGCCTCTGGTTGTACGAAAAACCGCGTTTTTAGCTTGTGGACACTCAAGAGGTGATTGGTTGATGCTTTGGGACACGATAACTTTAGTTCCAATTAAGTGGGAGTGATGGAACTTGGTGTATAGTTTCATTACATCAATATCTTGACTAAGTTCGATGATGAGCATTTTCTGCTCAGGGTAAGCAGAGCAATAAGCAATTTGATTGGCCGAGACTTTGGAACACAATAACCCTCCTTCTAATTGAGCTAGAATGTTCAAACTTGGTGTAGGTGTTTATTAGGTCAATGCCTTGATGGAGTGTGAAGATAAGCATTTTCTGCTTAGGGTAAGCAGAGATAAGCAATTTGATTGGTTGATGCTTTGGGACACGATAACTTTAGTTCCAATTAAGTGAGAGTGATGAAACTTGGTGTATAGTTTCATTACATCAATATCTTGACTAAGTTCGATGATGAGCATTTTCTGCTCAGGGTAAGCAGAGCGATAAGCAATTTGATTGGCCGAGAGTTTGGAACAGAATAACTCTCCTAATTAAGCTTGAATGTTCAAACTTGGTGTAGGGGTTTATGAGGTCAATGCCTGGATGGAGTGCGAAGATCAGCATTTTCTGCTTAGGATAAGCAGAGATAAGCAATTTGATTGGTCGATGCTTTGGTACACGATAACTTTAGTTCTCATTAAGTGAGAGTGATGACACTTGGTGTATAGTTTCATTACATCAATACCTTGACTAAGTTCGATGATGAGAATTTTCTGCTTAGGCTAACGAGCAATACGCATTTTGATTGGTCACGACTTTGGAACACAACAACTCTTCTTCTAATTGAGGTAGAATGTTTAAACTTGATGTAGATGATCGTCTTGACTGAGTTCAATGATTAACATATCGAGCTAAAGCTAAGCAAAGATAAGCAATTTCCTGCTTTGGGACAAGATAACTTTGATTCTATCTGATAGAGAGTGATGAAACTTAGTGTATAGTTGATAATCAGTTTGACTGCTTGATACTTTGGAAAAAAATAGATGTGCGATTAATTAATATGTGTCATCTATTTATTTGGGGATTTCGGCGGGGGACATCAGCCTCACTGTTGGCTTGTTCCATTTTAAATCTACCTTTTTTTTTACACATTATTATACTAAAATACAATATTTAAAATTTTTAGCATATAATGTACAAGTTATCATTTTATTTAATCAAACATTTTCCTATTAATAATACATCTTCAACAAAATACATCTTACAATCCAACTAAATGGGAGACAGCATCCCCGTGCTCGATGACGGTGTAATGCCCTTCATGGAGGCGCCGATTTTCTGTTACCAGTCTGTCTTCCAACTGCCGGTACTTCCTTTTTCTGGGATTGCTAGAGGCAGCAAGCTGTTTCTCCCCTCTATACACCAGATTTTGGCCACCCTGAGCATTTGGTATGAAACTAACATATACTTGAACGTTTGCCATCTTGTGATATCTGTCAGATCAATGTTGTTGACAAATGTCAGTGGTTCCATATATATATAGTGTCCTCTGAACGGAGTTCACCACTTAAGTAAGTTTTAACAAAAAAAATGCTTATCATCATGATAAAATAAGATGAACACAGTTTACATGCCATATGCTGAACGAATAATCTGTTGAACACAGTTCTCTACACCATAAAATTGGCCCACTTGATTAAGCCAATTAAGGCTGTTAATTAAAATCCGATAATCCCTGTTAATCCAGGGATTAAAAACTGGCACAGTGGGAGTACCCCCTTTTATCTTGAGCTCATCAGGTCAGGTTTAATGTAATTGGTTTAAAAGTTTATTGAATAAACATTATGATGTAGGGTAAAAGAAAATTGAAAAAAAGCTATATTTACATCCTGAATCCTGATTAAATCTGTTTGAATTGAACCATAAACTGTGAACAGTTTGCTATTTAAAAAACTGGAGTAAGTCATGTAAACAACAAGGTGTGTTCTGTATGTAATCATAGATTGGTTGAATGCATGAACTTGGTTTTAAGGTGAAGGTTGTTGAATTCATCAGAACGTTAATGTACTTGTAAGTTATATATAACTTGGACTATGACCATTCGAAAACAGGCCATACACATGTAGAGCATTGATCTGAAATAGCCTTGCTGAACACTTGTTGCCCATTGTTTTTTTCTTCACCTGCAATTACATGTACCTTTTGACCACATATAGTCCCCAGTCAAGGTGGCATATTGTACTTTAAAAAGATCAAAGCTTTATATAAACAATTAGCTAGAAATACTTGTAGTTGACTATGGCTACACCTACAGGTATTGGTATGTTATTGTTTATTCATCTTTATATCTGGCCAGAAAAAGGAAATAATGATAATGATTATTTGTTAATTTATATTTGCAGCTTCATGTCCTCATGTGGTACAAGTACCTACTGTCATATCAATGGTTGGTTTACCAGCTAGAGGTAAAACATACATATCTAAAAAACTTACAAGATACCTCAATTGGATCGGCATAGCTACTAAAGGTAAGATCGTTGGAAAATTGAAAATATAACTGTTTAATGTCAAGTAATTATGATTAGCCTATTTTATTGTTATTCATCAATTATAGGGTGGCCCACGCACCTACAGAAATACAGTCCACCGCTGATAGTTCGAGACTACCACTGAAGCGTGCACATTCGCCGTGTCGAGGCCAACTTTCTGACAGTATGATACTATAAATAGCCATGGCACGTGCAATTCTCTACAAATCTATCAACTATTACAGCCGTAAAAAAATTATTGTTGACTATTTTGAATAGCAGTGAAATTAAGCTTCTTGGTTATTACAGCAGATTTAGAAATTACGTTCGTTTCATTTTTTAAATCGCTTTATCATTAACTGTACCGTTAAGAGCGGCATCTTTTGGTTTAGTACAAATAATATCTCAGAAACACTCGGGTTAGACAGGAACATGATACTAGCAGTAGTTTCATTTTACTTTTACAAGCTTCTTAAAACAATTGTTGAGCTAGCTAACGTGCTCATTTCTAAATTCAATTTCTTGTTCTAGCTTTCTGTTATGTTTCGTAAAAAAGTCGTCTTGATTATCCCGACCTGTCAATCAGCCCTAGAATGGTCGATAGACTGGTTAAGCGAGACTAATTTCAAAACAAGGGCACGTAACCTATCTTTTACTCAAAAGTGTCTGGATGTTATGGACGACACATGGAACCAGTTTTCAGTCTATTATTTATAGATGATTAATGGTCATAGCTTATTAAGTACAACATGATCGTTTATTTAGTGACTATAATTGTGTGAAACTGATTTGAGGCTTGGCATATATATAAATATTGTGGCAAAATTGTCGAGATATATGGAGATATTTATTTATGGTGGGTCACCCTATCAATTAAAAAGAAATACTTATTTGAATTATGTTATTACTCAATTTTGCACAGTCTTTCTTCTGATTACCATGCAGAGATTTTAACCAGTTGGATTGTATCTTGACTTTCTATTTCTTTTAGATAAATAAAATAGATTTTCATTTATTTTTAATAATTAAACATACATTATACAAGAGCTAAATTCGTCTATTGCAGGTCTTTCTTTAGGCCTGAAATATTATCTAAATTATTAATTAGACATTAATTAACTTATCCAGACCATAATCAACTCTAGATGGCATCGCTAGCCTGCGATCTTTAGTGGATTATGAGCCAATTTACTGCATAACCTTCTTTCACGATTTAACAATTAAATAGATAATCAAGACTATGCTGTTTATCGTACTGACTTTAGTAATGATGATCGAGGCTAGGCGGAAATTTCAATCGCTTAGTTCTCGGTTCATAGTGGATCAATTTGAATGAAATTTTCAGCAAATTGCCTTTACATTATCTAGTTTTTAACTATGATAGTGAGAACTGCCAGCTCTTTATCTTATCTCCCATAATGTATCTTTAACCGACATAAATATTTTGAGGTTTTGTGTCATTGATATTGTGATACACAAAAGCACATACTTATGGAAAAGTATGTGATAGATCTATTTTTAAGGACTTCAAAAGAACCTTCAAACCTAGTTCCCACTTGTTAGGGGTAGGACCTGCAGGGCTGACAAGAAGGGTGAATTATTGAACTGTCTAGTCGGTTCATTACATGTATGTGAATGTGATACTTGAAAAATGCAATCTGATTAAAATACAGATCTATATTTCATTTCGTTGCTTTATACTTTTGATGACCTACACAATATGAATATCTGACCGGTTGTAGTGGAAGGTCATGTCAGGGGGTCATACGAGCAGCTTTTGACCCTATGACGTCAGATATTAATTGGTTTACCTACAGTTCCGTGCATATATTGCCGTTGCCTCTGTCCTGATGGGTCCGTAGGTCTGTCGTCCACACTTTTTTGTAAAAAAACTCTACAGACTACATTTATGATCTGATTGTTTTGAAATTGATATGTTATTTACATTACTGAGATGAAGGATCCTATTTTTAATTACAATAATTTCCGTTATTTTCTTCTTGAGTTATAACCCTTGTTTCACTTTATTGCACTTTGTCGAATCCTGTGAACGCTCTAATGACAAAAGTTATCATCCGATCTGTAAAAGTTATATACATTATTTGAATTAATGAGACGAAAAAGCCTATTAAATTTCAGCAATTTCCGTTAATTATATCTAGAGTTATGGCCCTTGTTTCACTTTATTGAACCGTATGAACGCACTAACAAAAATTATCATTTGATCTGTTTAAAATATAAATGCATTCTTTAAATTAGTGAAACGAAAAAGCCTATCGAATTACAGCAATTCCCGTTAATTACTTTTAGAGTTATGGGCCTTGTTTCACTTTGTCGAATCCTGTGAACGCTCTAAATTGACAAAAATTATCAAACTGATTTGTATGAAAGTTATATGCATTAGTTGAATTAGTGAAACGAAGAAAACTATTGAATTTCAGCAATTTCTGTTAATCTAGAGTTATGGCCCTTGTTTCATTTTGTTGAACAATATGAACACTCTATGACAAAAGTTATTATCTGATCTGTTTGAAATTTATATGCACTATCTAAATTAGTAAAACAAAGAATCCTATTGAATTTCAGCAATTTCTGTTAATTAGTTGTGGCCCTTGTTTCACTTTGTCGAACTCTGCCTAATGACAAAAGTTATCATTCGATCTGTATGAAATTTATATGTACTATTTAGATTAGTGAAACAAAGAAGCCTATTGAATTTCCGTTTATTATGTCTAGAGTTCTGTACATGTATGCCCTTGTTTCACTTTGTAATTGTTGAACCTTGTGAATGCTCGAACGACAAAAGTTATCTCAGATCCACATGAAATGTATATGCATTATTTGAATTGGTGAAATGTATATGCATTATTTGAATTGGTGAAATGTATGCATTATTTGAATTGGTGAAATGTATATGCATTATTTGAATTGGTGAAATGTATATGCATTTTTTGAATCGGTGAAATAAAGAAGTTTATTGAATTTCAGCAATCTCTGTTAATCTAGAGCTATGGCCCTTGTTTCACTTTGTTGAACCTTGTGAATGCTTTAACGACAGAAGTCTTCATCTAATCTGTATGAATTTTATATGCATTATTTAAATTAGTAAAACGAAAGAGACTGTTGAACTTCAACAATTTTTGTATATTACTTTTAGCGTTAAGGCCCGTGTTTCAGTTTGTAGCACCTTGTGAACCCTCATAAGACGAAAATTATAATCTGATCTGTATAAAATTATCTTGTAAATTACTAAAATCCCCCCCCCCCCATTACCTTCAAATTAAATATGCGACAACCCTTGTTGACCGCTCGGATGATTTAGCTGCTGTGGGCATATGTTTCATTGCCTGGCAACCTATCTTTCAGATTGTGACATATGAAGAGTTGACAGAAATGCTGCTGCTCAGACAAAATTCCACTCTGTAGCATTACACATGTGACCATAGAAAATACAACTCTGTGTTAGTCTCAAAATGAGTATGACGAAATGTTACATTCCATTTCTTATCCTGTCCTATATATTTTTAAGATGAGGTCAAACAACAGAAGTGCCTGTGGGCATTTGTTATTTATTTTGCCTGTCAACCTTTTATTTGAGAAAGTTGTCCACTTGTATTTTCTTATTCAACACGCTGTTGAGAAACTAGGATTAAACCGCTCAAGAAAAGTTTCACATACATTATATCGTCACAGGCCACAGCCCTTCCAGAATGACATCTTAATTTTCAGAAGTATCAAAATACAAAGAAATAAATTTGAATTGCCATCTTCAAGCTTAAACATGGTTTCAATACTCCAAAATGTATCTCGTAAATCTGATCAAATATCATTCTATCTAAAAACATAAAGTGTCACAACAGAGGATTTTGCCAATCTAGTGACGGACATCTTTTTGGATATCTTAAAATAATCCAAATAATCCCCAAATATATATGTATATTAAACGTAATAAACAATAATTGTAACTTTAAGGCACTATTCTCATCCTGTACTTTTCAGAATCCAATCCCGTTGATATATATGAGAAATAGTCGCAAGCTTTAAATCAACATTTCTAATTGTAACCCAAAATGGAAATTTCTTGGATTCTGATTGGTCGAAAAGTGGCATCGAATGAGTATAACAGTCCTCTAAATTTCCTAGGCAACTCACTGCGAATGAATTTTTTCTGGGTAATATTTTCTGTTTGCAGTGGCCAAAAATTTTACACCTTATTCTAGGAAATCTCCATGATTTTTTTCTTGTATGTCATTAACAATGAAATTCAACCATTGGCTTATTGAAACACACACCTCAAACACACAAAAAACAAAGTTTGTTAGTGTATTTTAAAGATAATAAGTAAATTTCATTTCAAGGCTGGTCTGACAATAATGGTTGCTATGGTCATTCTGTCATATGAGTGAATAAAAATACTACAATTTATTGAACTCCCTATGGACCGTAAATAACTGATGGTGATATATTTAAAAAAGAATATACAAGACCGGCTGATACTGATATCAATAGAACAGAGACTAATTTTCAAACACAGGGTTTTTTGCAAAGAAAAAAAAATCACACCGTCGAAATGACAACACAAGTAAGCACAGCAACTGCATGTGTACGCTACACAGCATATATCTACACAATCACACGAGTGTATGGACATTTATCAAACATGATATGCAATTTATTTCGAACTTGGTCATTTAAAATCATTTAAAAAGTACATAAAATACACTTACGATTTTTGTTTCGATCTTCAAAATTATCACAGAGTGACCTCTCTTTTCAAACAGATACAATTAACCAATCGCTTAGTGAACCAAATCGAAGGGTTGGGAGTGTTATCTTATTACGTCACAGATATTTTCATTACGTCAAAATTGTTTTCTTTGGTATTTACATCATTAAAACCAAAAAACGACTGTCAACTATCGCAAAAGAAAGAATTCCAAGAAAGATGTTAAATATTTTGGGCAACAATATCGATAATGAAAAATTTAAACGGTATCAAATGGACAATAACAGTCTGATAAATTCTAAACAGTATGTGTTTATCTCCTAATTGGATTACATTTCACAGTTTTTGAGTTAATATTTAGTATTTAAGACACTATGAACATTTTAAATCAGTCTGTGGCATCAATTTTTCTATATCATTGAGCACCATGCCATTTGTAATGAGGCACCTTGATGAATGAGGTAAAATGTGAAATACCAAGCCATGCTCTCGACTGAACTAACCAACCGCAAATGACTGCAATTCAATTCGGACTGCTCACATACATGACACATGTATTTCGTCGAACATAACTGATTAAAAGTTACAATAACAAATTTAAAAATAGATGTAAATCACTTTGTACACATACTACAGTGCACTCTGTCACATCCGACCTCTGATCACTCCGGCACTCTGTGAAATCCGACGCCATTTTCATGTCCCGATTTATTTCCTTATTACTTCAGCAAAAAAATCACTGGGTAATTCGACCTCATATGATTTCCTTCGAATCGACACCGTATAATCCGGCCTTTATTCGGTAGGTGTAAGCAAACACTCACCAATCAGTTATTGGTGAGATTAAAACTCGATTGGCGTGAAGCCAAAAAAGATTAACAAGCAATCACCAATCAATTTTGTGTGAGATTAAAACTCGCTACCGTGGGTCTTTGTTGATTACTTTGATAATTTTAATCTCTTGTACGACAGTTCTGACAAATACTCAACAATTTCCCCGAATTTTCCCCCGAATTCACAGTTGTAAAAATTTTCCTAGCACCTGTTTAATAAACATTCGTTGCGCATGCCGATTGAACCTGAATAACCTATAAGTTTGGTCACCCAATGGATCTCTTCGAACCGTGTGACGACGACCTGGGGATGCTCGATTCACAGTCCGGAACGTCCCGAATTGACAGAATTGCAATCAAGTGATGCAGAATTCAGTCCTGTCACAGTTCTGTCAGTCCCGACGACGGAGGTGGTGTGAGTAGAATTGTGACGTAATTAAACACGACGAACGGGTTGGATGAGATATCCAGTCGACGCATGCGTTGTAGCCCAAAGTACCCATTTTCTCTCGATTGTCATTTTTGGGATTGGGAGAATTCAATTCCAGAATGTTCAATCAAGTACGCCCATTATCAATGAACACGTGATAGCAAAGACAAGAGTGCATTCAACTGAAAATGGCGAAGAAGATAAATTAACGACAGACTTGACCTATTCAAAATGCCAACGCATGTTAAATGAAATAAAAATTAATGTAATAAAATTTTGAATGTACAGAAAGGTTTATCATTTTGAGAAAACTGGGTATTCCGACAACTCTGTGTAATCCGACATATTGTAACGATCCCGTACGATGTCGGATTTGACAGAGTCCACTATACTGATATGTGCTTTGGACCCATTTTCATCAGTTTTAGGATTAAAAAATAAAGATTTAACACCTTTAAGAGGTTTTTTGAGAATAATCACGATATGGAAGATTAGGAATAGAAATTTTTAATGCTGGGTATGCTTAAAGATGCATTATGTAAGATTTAGATAAAGAACTAGTCGTTCTTTCTAAAATAGTTGATAAATAGATAATGAAAATTTCAGTCAAATTACTTTATTCTGAGATAGTTATTAGTGTTTGAAGTATTGACAAGTTCAAGCATTATTAGGCTTGATATGAATACAATAAACAAAGTCTCTTTTATTTATTTTTAAACGTTGAATTATTAAATAGCACGTACATGTATGGGTGTTCTAATTTATTCAATATCTCGGCGATCGGATGTCTACAGAGTTGATTATGGCTTGAAACCAAAAAAACAAACATGCAATATAGGCAGATTTATGTCTTGCATGTATATACATGTAATGCATCTTTAAGATCATATATATAATTGTTTAATGACTTTATTTCAGTGTCCAATTTTGATCCACACAAGTATAAATAAATGTAGTATAATCTATTTTACAGTGTTTAATGTTGGTGAATACAGAAGAGCAGCCACTGATCAGTATAAAAATCATGATTTTTTCCGCGCTGATAACAAGGAGGCTCTTGAAATCAGAACGTAAGATTAAATGTAGTGTTATAACAAATGTAGTATAAATTCATGAATTCTTTTCAGTGTTTAATGTTGGTGAATATAGAAGGGCAACTACAGAGCAATATAAAAGTCATGATTTTTTCCGCTTTGATAATAAGGAAGCTTTTGAAATCAGAACGTAAGATTTAATGTTCCATAATCCATTTGATCCTAATCTATAGTACTAATATAGAGCCCTTGATCACACTAAATAGAAAATTACAATTAAAAGTTACATTTGTGTTTCCAAAAGTTGTTAAGCTTAGCATAAGCAATGGCAATCATTTTGGTTGTCTGTAGTAGTCTGTAATTTTAACCATTTTTGCTGGTGCAGGTTTTTTGTGTGCTGCCTTTTTTTAGATAGATTCTTCTACATATTAATAGATTTGGTATTAATAATCATTTTGATTGATTGAAATATTCTTATGTTGGGTATTTATCAATAAATTTATTCATACTGTAAATTCCATCAAAATCAAATTAAACTTGATTTCAAGTCAATTTTTATTTATCTCTTTGAATGGAAAAGTACCATAGACATTTTGGATAATTAGATAAAGAAAAAAAAGGGTCTTTGTCAATTTATATTTATCTCTTTGCATGGAAGATCTGGTCAAGTACCATAGACGTTTTAGGTAATTAAATTAAGAAAAAGAGGGTCAAGTTTGCCTTGAATAAGTTTATTTATACATAGATTCACTTTGAGATTTTGTTTTTTATACGCCCACATTTTCATGTGGACGTATATTGTCGTTGCCCCCGTCCATCACAATTTTTATCCGATGTCAATGGAACTTGAAATATAGGTTTATCACCCTAAGATCTCGGTTCCTTTCGATATTGGCATGTATCGGGCCGTAACTTCATGGATTATGGCTCCTGATTGTACGAAAAATCATGATTTTAGCTTGTGAAAACTGTAGAGGTCACAATTTTCATACGATTTAGTTTAAACTTGAAAAGTATGTTTATAACCCACAGATTGCGGTTCATTTCGATATTGGCACATTTCGGACTATAACTTCCTGAATTATGGCCCCTGATTGTACGAAAAATCGCGTTTTTCGCGATTTAAAAAAACGTTACGATATATCACCGTTATACCCTAAGGGTGGTTCAGTTCGAATTTCGTAAAAATCGGACCAAAACTGACGGACAAAATGGCCACCCCTCATTCGCAAATAGTGTCAAAATATTGTGTATCAGGGTTGTGGACCCTCTGAAGGTCACAATTTTCATCTGATTTTGATGAAACTTGAAATGCATGTTTATAACCCACAGATCTCGGTTCCTATTGATATTCGCGCATATTGGACCCTAACTTCCTGAATTATGGCCCCCGATTGTACGAAAAATAGCATTATTAGCTTGTGGACCCTCTTGAGGTCACAATTTTGATCTGATTTCGATGAAACTTGAAATACATGTTTATAACCCAAAGATATTGGTTCCTTTCGATATTCGCACATATCGGATCATAACTTCCTGAATTATGGCCCTTGATTGAACAAAAAAATCACGTTTTTAGCTTGTGGTTCCTGTAGAGGTCACAATTTTTATCCGATTTAAAAAAAAAACTTGTGAATATATCACCATTACACACTAAGATCTTGGTTCCTTTTGATAATCGCAGATACCAGAACTTAACTTCCTGGGTTATGGTCCCTGATTGTTCGAAAAATCGCATTTTTAGCTTGCGGATTCTCTAGAGGTCACAATTTTTTTCCGATTTTAAAAAACGTTTAAATACATCACCATTCCACCATAATGAAGGTTGAATTCGTATTTCAGGAAAATCGAAATGAAATTGCCCAACAAAATGGCCGCTCCTTGTACGCAAATTCTTTAGAAGTGTGTAATACGAAGGTTGTGGACCCTCTTGAGGTCACAATTTTTATCTGATTTTGATAAAACCTAAAACATATTTTTATATCCCAAAGATTTCTATCCCTTTTGATATTTGCACATTTCGGGCCATAACTTTCTGGACCGAAACTGACGGACAAAATGGCCGCCCCTCGTTTGCAAATAGTGTCAAAATATTGTGTATCAGGGTTGTGGACTCTCTAGAGGTCACAATTTTCTTCTGATTTTGATGAAACTTGAAATGTAAGTTTATAACCCAAAGATCTCCGTTCATTTCGATAGTCGCACATATCGGACCATAACTTCCTGAATTATGGCCCCTGATTGTAGCTTGTTCTCTATCCATCTCTTGCAAAATGTGTGCTTATCCTGCCTGGCAGCCGCTGGTTTTAGATTTCCCAGCCTGGTTTCAACTTGTCATGGTGCAGGACGGAGAGCCTGGCAAGAACAGTGTTAAGTCATTTGTATGGGACAAAAAAAACCCAAGGTCCTTTGTACAGGTTGGCGTGCACATAAATGAATCCTTGGCATTTGGAATTCAAAAAGCTATTTTCTCAGGAAAATTTTGCTCATAATACACTGTATATACATGTATACCCATCTTCATTATCCCGGTTGGTGCAGAAAAGTAAGATGTTAATTAAACCGCATTTCATTTCATCCACATAAATATGCCTTGAACAATACAATTATATAATAGATTAAATATGTATGATTTTCTTGTAACAGTGGTGGTGGTTGTCAATAGAGCTTACTATGTGCAACAAGAACAGTGTCTAGTTATACTAGGTTGAAATCTTAACCAATTGATAATATGAGAATAGAGTATGAGGTATTGTAAAAGCTGTCAACCCCAACCCCCTACAAAAAAATAATTGAATTGATTTTAACCGTAACATTAAAGCATTGTTTACTGCATACTAAAAACAGAAAAATTTCTTAAAATATCTACATATTAATTTCATTCGACTATTTCAGGAAATGTGCCATGATGGCTATTGAAGATGCGAGCAAATATTTGTTAAATGGAGGAGAAGTAGCTGTGAGTAGTTTTATGTTAATTCAATGGTCATACTTTTTATATGCTCATATTTTCTTGTATACATACTATGCCGTTGCCCCTGTCCGTCCATAATTTGTTTGTGGACACTCTACAGGTCACACTTTTTATCTTGTTTCCTTTCGATATTGGCATTCATCGGACCATAACTTCATGGATTATGGCCTCTGATTGTACGTAAAATCATCTGATTTGGATGAAACTTGATATTCATGTTTATAACCTAAAGATCTTGGTTCCTTTCGATATACGCTCATATCGGATCGTAACTTCCTAAATTATGGCTCCTGGTTGTATGAAAAATCGCATTTTTAGCTTGTGGTCCCTCTCGAGGTCACAATTATTATCCGATTTAAAAACAATGTTTGAATATATCAATATCACAGTTGTTACGCGGTAATGGCGGTTCAGTTCGAATTTCGTGAAAATCGGACACTAAATGGTGTAAAAGTATGTAATGCCAAGGTTGTGGACCCTCTAGAAGTCACAATTTTTATCTGATTTTGATGAAACTTGAAATGTATGTGTATAACCCAAAGATCTTGGTACCTTTCGATATTCGTGCATATCAGACTATAACTTAATAACAAATTTTGTTTTCTGGTTATGCTAACATCTCCAATTTGGTACAAAAGAGTTATTTAATGATTTATGTATTAAAGGTTGTTGATGCTACAAATACAACAAGAGAAAGAAGAAAGATGTTAGTAGATGTTTTTACGGTACAACATAATTTTAAGTTGTTTTTTGTTGAGTCTTTATGTGATGATCTGAGAATTATTGAAGCTAATATATTAGTAAGTATGCACTTAATCTCTGCACATAGAATAAGCCTACTGGTAGTAATGTACACTTTTGATTCTAAGAATCGCTGCTAAGCTCTAAATTAGAAGAGAAAAATGGGATGAGGACATACACTGGAGTAAAGGGATATCCTGGTTTATTTTATATGTTTATTATAATAGAAATATATAATATTTGTTGCTAGAAATTTATATTAGGTCATGTCTCACTTAAACTGAATGCTGAATATTGATAGGGTTTGTCCTCTCATGACTCCAATACCTCGTGCCAAATTTGAGAAAGATTATTTGAAAACTGTACTATCACATTTATGGGTAGGGAGGAGTAAGCCAGGAACAGAAGATCACAGAACACTGGAAATTGTTAGGATTCTGTTGAAAAACAAAACGGTATCTGATTACCTTTATACAAAGATTTATTAAAGTTATATCAATTATTCATGGCTCAAAATGTTAGCTTGTCGACTTGTCGCCGACAGGCAATTTTTTCGTCAGACAGGTAGCAAGTAAAACAACCGGTCGCTTGCGACAGGTGGACTAAATTTTACTTGATGTCCAGTAAATTGACTTAAGACCACAATACTCATGTCCACGTCACATACGTTTAATTATTCGTTTCTTAATGCAAGAATTAAGCATGGAAATGTCGTGAAAAGATGCCATTTTTACTGTTTACATTTCGTTTTGTCATAGGCAACAGTTACTCAAACAGTTTGGAAGTAGACAATTTTATAACAATGAATTTCACACCATCTACGCTTGTTTTCATCCGCTTGATACTAGTTTATAGCATTATGAAGTATTATATCTAAATAAATTAAAACACACCCCCTGGTCATCTAAAATTGTTCTATCGTAACGACACACAGTAAATATAGTGGTAGCTGGAATGGAAATGCACATGGCTCGTTGCCTGGTATATTTAATCATATAAAAAGTTTAAAACAATTTCCATAAATAAATGAATAATTTATAAGAAAATTTACAAAATCAAATAATTAGATCTGAAAAATATTTCATATATAAATATTTGTAGTGTAAATATAGACAGGATATGCGAGAAAGGAATTCCTGGGGGCGTTACTTGTCCTCCGCACGCGGTACATGTAAATACGGTACCATGCACAGGTGTGATTCGTGTTTTGATAATCAATGTATTACGGATATTTTAAAATCTGAATTCTTCACCTCAACGGCGAAGTATTCGATTTAGTAAGCAAGTTTGGAAACATGATACTTCGCGAAATTTGCGTGTATACGGATGATAGAATTGTACGAATCTTCAAGTCGCTGAGCCATAGCAGATTCGCCGACTTTCAAGTACTTTCAGGCATTCCGATGAACCGAAGAAATAAAAATGTTTCATATTACGATATTTATATGGAGCAATGTACGTCAAGACCTAAACAATTTAAGAGCGTGTGTGTACCTACATGTATGGATATGTGTCATGTGATTGGTCTTTGAAAATTGAGAGTGACAGGTTATTTACTGAAGCGACATTTCGAGGCCTGATTATCCATGTAGGATACTCTCCTATTGGAAAATAACTTGAAAGGATGGGCTCCAAAAACTATATAAGGCTGAAAAAGATTCACAAATGGATGTTTCAAAATGTTTCAAGAGCTTACAACAAACAGCATAAATGGTCCGTATGGGAAATTTGCATGCATTATACCCCGCTGCAATATCTGGTTATATGCGTAGGTATTTAAATTTAATGGTTTTAATTCATTGCAGGAAGTTAAAGTATGTAGTCCAGATTATTTAGGTGTTGATAAAAATGAAGCAGTGAAAGATTTTCTACAAAGAATAGAACATTATCGAGTTACATATGAATCATTAGATTATAATTTAGATAATGATATGTCATTTATACAGATAGTCAATCAAGGTGATAGATTTCTTGTCAATAAATTAGCTGGTAAGTATCTACTTAAGTAGCAACTATTTCCTGCTATCTAGCTGGCGACCTATAACATTGATTAATGTAGATGTAAAGCTCTTTCAAATAGATTGAAACACTTTTTAAATTTATTAATACATCATAATCAAACAGCTTTTATACCAGGGCACATATACAGGAAAATATATGAATAATAGAGGATTGTTTTTATCTGGCAAAATTGAAGAAATTAAAAGGCTTTCTTTTAGCTATCGATTTTAAAAAAGCTTTTGACAGTATTAGTCATAAGCTTTGGTTAATGTTCGATCCTCCTTTGGATGTAAAGGTAATTATGTTTCGCATACTAAACGTTACCATGGGGCAGAACTAAAAGCCCAAAAAATTCTAATGATTTTCTGATAAATACTTATTAAGTTATTACTCTAAATCAGATTTTAGTATATTATAAATGTTTCATTATGGACAATAGAAAAAATATGCGACAACTCTTGTTGACTGCTCGGACGACTTAGCTGCTGTGGGCGTATGTTTCATTGCCTGACAACCTATCTTTTGATTTTGACGAAGCTTGAAATGCATGTTTAAACCCAAAGATCTTGGTTTTTTGCGATATTTGCGTGTATCTGATTAAAAAAAACATTTGAATATATCACCGTTACACCCTAAAGTTGACTGAGTTCGAATTTCATGAAAATCAAACCAAAATTGCTGGACAAAATGGCGCCCCTCGTACGCAAATAAGGTAAATATATGTTATATCAAGGTTGTGGACCCTCTTGAAACTTGAAATACATATTTATTACCCATAGATCTTGGTTTCTTTAAATATTTGCGCATATCGGATCATAACTTCCTGAATTATGGCCATTGATTGTACGAAAAATCGCGTTTTTAGCTTATGATTCCTCTAGAGGTCACAATTTTTATCCGATTTAAAAAAAAAACTGTTACACCCTAATGATGGTTGAGTTCGATTTTCGTGAAAATCAGACCAAAACTGCCGGACAAAATGGCCACCCCTGTACGCAAATAGTGTATATATTATATGGTATATCAAGGTTGTGGACCCTCTAGAAGTCAAAATGTTGATCCGATTTTGTTCAAGCCTGACATATATCTTTATAACCCAAAGATCTTGGTTCCTGTCGATATTTGCCCATATCAGAGCGTAACTTCTTTAATTATGGCCCTTTTTGTTTAACTTGTTCTCTATCCATATCTTGCAAAATGTGGGCGTATCCTGCCTGGCAGCTGCTGGTTAGATATATTCGTACCATTTATAATGATGTAGAATGTTGTGTGATAAATAACGGTTTTACCATGCCATATTTTCCAGTTGAAAGGGGGGGAGGGGGTCATCAGGGTGATCCGAGCAGCACCAACTTATTCAGTCTTGTAATTGAAACCTTGTGTAATTTGATAAGAAATGGAAACTTTAAAACTAATTGCTTTTGCTAGACATTTATGTGGAGTACTTAAAAAATTTAGTAAAGTCTCAAGATTAGAAATTAATGTAATAAAAACTGAAGCCATTGATCTAAATAGCGGAATACCTAATCTGTCATCTGATATACATCAGTTTGGTTTTGTATATCAAAATTCGAATATTAAAATCTTAAGTATAGTATTCTCCAAAGATACAAAAACGTCTGAGAAATTAAACTATGAAAATAGATTGATTGAGATGATTAAAATATTAAATACTTGGAGAAAGAAAAAAACTTACATTAATCGACAAGATTCATATAATCAAAACTTTCTGTATATCAAAAATACTGTATCCAGCGTCAGCTTTAACAATGTCAGACTATGTAACTAAAAGATGTAATATTAAGATAAACTTAAAATGTAATCGGTCAAATGAAGAATATGGGGGTATTAAAGTAGCTAAGTCTCTAACTCAATATCATCCAAAATCTTCAACATTGAAAACACGATTTATTTGTCAAATTAAATCAACGTTCATGTTGTGATCTTACCGGAAAAAGATGGGCTTTTGATATCCAATATTTAAGACAAAAAAACCATTTTACCATTGGTACACGAATCGTGTACCATAATGCGCTTCGGTCCTAGTTGTATCAAGAGACTCAAGGGACGAGGCTAGACACATTGCACCAAATCAAACGGCGTATGTAGACTGGAATAACCAGACGCTAGAAATTTGCACTCGCTTGAGACTGCTGGCTTATTTCGCCGAACATAACTGATTTGAAATTGGAGTAAAAACAGAAACCATTGAATGTAAATCAGTTTATATACATTCATATTACAGTATTATATGCGTTGCGACCCACTTTTGTCAATTTCTAGGTCCCAAATGTTAACGATTTAGCTCCTTTAAATATGATAAATTTGAATGAAATGATGATAGCTTGCAGAATTTTTGGGACAAAGAAAATTTATACTATAATACATATAATTTTATTCTTGACATGTATACTGTATCCAGTAATACTGAGCTACTATATATAATAAAATTCAGCAAAGTCATTGTACAAACAAAATAGTAGCCCTATTGACAAGAAGTTGAACACTATTGCTATTACAAGAAAATGAATTACCCATAACAAGATATTTGCATTATAATGACACTCTGAAAGCTTTTATCTGTTTATGAAATGCAGGCCACGAAATTTGACGCGAACGATACCAATCGGTTACGTGCGGTCGCGCTAGCTCAAAAACACGCGAACGATTTCATGGTTACGCAAATTGAAATATCGGTTACGTTAACAAATTTCATTAACAGATTTATTCACATTTGATCAATTTTTATACAGGATTAATTTGTGACACGGGTCTAAATTATTTGTATTATAGCACAAACTCCATTCATTCATTCTTGGCATTTCATTTCTCCATTTTCCCGGTACTTTGACAGATCACGTATTTTGACACCACTAGGCTATTGACCAGTTGCAAGCACGTTGATTTAAAAATGCCCCTCACTCCTAATTCTTTAAATGATTAGTTATGCCATAAATTTTGAAAGCGTACCTTTGGATTTTCAAACACAAAATGAGTTTGACTATTTAACATGTCGGCTTTATTTCCAAAGAATTTACTACACGTGTTCCTTTCAGTTTTCACTATAGCCATGCTGTAGTACCAATGACCCGTATGTATGTCGTCAACTTTGACCCCCTCCCCGGCATCGCTCGAGAGATAATGTAAACGATTTTACTCTCCTGTCTATTTAAATATTATTTCATGACATCAAACTATTCTGTTTCCTTTTGAGACTTTGTGTATAGGTTTATAATAAATACTGTTTGTCAATCAGTCGCTATACCTATGAGTGAGGCTATCGCATGCTACGTGCTTGGATGAATGATTGCAAGTGACAAGTGTAATATGAAGTACGCATGTAGTCTTCAGTGACCGAAAACAATGTGGTAGCTACCATTCCTGGTTTTTGAAGGTCAGATATAATATAAAAACGAAAATCCATTAGTAATTTTTGAAACCGATTCCCCTCATCATTAAAATGTAGGGATTTAGTGAAGTGGAACATTTTTTTTCTAATGTTATATTGTTTAAATGGGGACACCGTGGGATTAAAGTCATTAACACTTAACCTAATATAATATTAAATATAAAAGAATAAAGTTAGTCAAGTTATTTCTTTAAAAAATACATTCACTGCAAGTGGAAATGAATAATAGCACCATTTAAATCTGGATAAAACATGAAAACAGCGCAACCATTTTATGCAACCATTTTATGATCATCTGGCGTAACCAAAGAAAATGGTTACGCAGAGCATAAACCCGCAACCATTTTTCTGGTTACGCCAAAATTTGAAATTTCGTGGCCTGAAATGTAATACTAAACCAACATTTACATGTCATTTCACCTGTTACAGGTCATTTACAGAGTAGGGTAGTATATTATCTAATGAATATTCATGTCCTTCCTAGAACTATATATTTAACTAGGGTAAGTACAACAAATTTTATTTTGATGCCCTTGCCTAATCTATATATTTGATGTCAAGTTTGATTGGGTTGATTCATTTTTGAGTAGCCTTTATTGAAAATATTATTCAGTATCTATCTTAATGGGTGGTCTTTATCAGAAATATGCATTATAGAGTTAGTAAGCTACCCTTGCCATAGATAACCTCTATATATTCACATTTAGATGTAATACTTGACATGTTACACTATTTTGCCTATACCGTTCTTTTTAGGACTTCGAATTTTGTCTAATGGTTTGGATTGTTTGTACTTGGTTTTATTTTATTTAGAAAATCGAATTTTATGTATTTTGATAACAATTGTCTCTGATGTTCTAGCATGGTGAAAGTGAAATGAATTTAACAGGCAAAATTGGTGGAGATAGTGATTTATCAGAGAGAGGTAAAGAGGTTAGTATGTTGTAGCATATTTTTCCAAAATTTATTAAATTCCAATCTGATTAAAATACAGATGTGTCATTCCATGTCATGTGGACCAAATTTCGGAAAGTTGGGAACATGACCCCCTCCCAAAAAATTATAAAAAAATATGGGTCATAGTATATGACCTTAGATAACAAATCTGAAATTATACCTTACTCGGTCAAATACTCTGAGATATGGCCATTTGAAATTAGGGTGCTGAAACGGATCAGAAATTCAGTAAATTTTTGAAGGTTTTTGGGTGCTTTAACCTTTTGATAAACCGTATTTGAGTATTTAGTTTCGTATTTAATTGATATGGCCCCGCATGCGTGTCAGACAGGAACTTGTCTTGTCAAGGGCATTGAGAAAAACGTGTCTTTGTTCAACACTTTTGACGAAAAATGTAATTTAACGAAGTCAGGAAGGTTAAAGACACGCGAAGTGGTTGAAATACTTACGAATGATTCCATTCGGATTATATCGATGACACCGATTCTGAAGACGATATTTCTGATGAAAAGGACTTAGAATGATTTGCAAATTATAGATCAACTTATCCCCTTCAACTTTTTATACGCCCACATTTTCATGTGGACGTATTATGCCGTCCGTCCACAATTGTTTGTGGACTCTCTACAGGTCACAATTCTTATCCGATTTCGACGAAACTTGAAATATAGGTTTATCCCCAAAATATCTCGGTTGCTTTCGATATTGGCATGTATCGGATCGAAACTTCATGGATTATGGCCCCTGTTTGTATGAAAAATCACGTTTTCAGCTTGTGGACCCTATAGAGGTCACAATTTTTATCCGATTTTGTTGAAACTTGAAATGTAATTTTATAACCCAAAGATCTCAGTTCCTTTCGATATTTGCGCATATCGGACAGTAACTTCCTGAATTATGGCCCCTGATTGTACGAAAAATCACGTTTTTAGCTTGTGGACCCTATAGAAGTTATAATTTTTATCCGATTTAAAAAAACGTTCTAATATGTCACCGTTACACCCTAAGGATGACTGAGTTCGAATTTCGTGAAAATCGGTCCAAAATTGACAGACAAAATGGCCGCTGTTCGCTCCCAAATAGCGTAATAATATGGTATATCAAGGTTGTGGACCCTATAGGGGACACAATTTTTATCCGATTTTGTTGAAACTTGAAATGTAAGTTTATAACCCAAAGATCTCGGTTCTTTTCGATATTCGTGCATATCGGACCGTAACTTCCTGAATTATGGCCCTAGATTGTACGAAAAATCACGTTTTTAGCTTGTGGACCCTATAGAAGTCATAATTTATATCCGATTTAAAAAAACGTTCTATTATATCACTGTTACACCCTAAGGATGACTGAGTTCGAATTTCGTGAAAATCGGCCCAAAATTGACAGACAAAATGGCCGCCATTCGTTCCCAAATAGCGTAAGAATATGGTATATCAAGGTTGTGGACCCTATAGGGGTCACAATTTTTATCCGATTTTGTTGAAACTTGAAATATAAGTTTATAACCCAAAGATCTCGGTTCCTTTCGATATTCGTGCATATCGGACCGTAACTTCCTGAATTATGACCCCTGATTGTACGAAAAATCACGTTTTTAGCTTGTGGACCCTATAGAGGTCATAATTTTTACCCGATTTAAAAAAACGTATTATTATATCACCGTTACACCCTAGGGACGACTGAATTCGAATTTCGTGAAAATTGGCCCAAAATTGACAGACAAAATGGGCGCCGTTCGTTCTCAAATAGCGTAAGAAAATGGTATATCAAGGTTGTGGACCCTATAGAGGTCACAATTTTTATCCGATTTTGTTGAAACTTGAAATATAAGTCTATAACCCAAAGATCTCGGTTCTTATCGATATTCGCGCATATCGGACCGTAATTTCCTGAATTATGGCCCCTGATTGTACGAAAAATCGCGTTTTTAGCTTGTGGACCCTATAGAGGTCATAATTTTTATCCGATTTAAAAAAACGTATTATTATATCACCGTTATACCCTAAGGACGACTGAGTTTGAATTTCGTGAAAATCGGCCCAAAATTGACAGACAAAATGGCCGCCTTTCGTTCTGGAATAGCATAAGAATATGTTATATCAAGGTTGTGGACCCTATGGAGGTCACAATTTTTATCCGATTTTGTTGAAACTTGAAATGTAAGTTTATAACCCAAAGATCTTGGTTCCTTTCGATATTCTCACATATCGGACCGTAACTTCCTGAATTATGGCCCCTGATTGTACAAGAAATTGCTTTTTTAGCTTGTGGATCCTATAGAGGTCATAATTTTTATCCGATTTAAAAAAACGTATTATTATATCACCGTTACACCCTGAGGACGATTGAGTTCGAATTTCGTGAAAATCGGCCCAAAATTGACAGACAAAATGTCCGCCGTTTGTTCTCAAATAGCGTAAAATTATGGTATATCAAGGTTGTGGACCCTATAGAGGTCACAATTTTTATCCAATTTTGTTGAAAATTGAAATGTAAGTTTATAACCCAAAGATCTTGGTTCCTTTTGATATTCGTGCATATCGGACCGTAACTTCCTGAATTATGGCCCCTGATTGTATGAAAAATCGCGTTTTTAGCTTGTGGACCCTATAGAGGTCATAATTTTTATCCGATTTAAAAAACCTTATTATTATATCACCGTTAAACCTTAAGGAAGATTTAGTCTGAATTTCGTGAAAATCGGCCCAAAATTGACAGACAAAATGGCCGCGTTCGTTCTCAAATAGCGTAAAAATATGGTATATCAAGGTTGTGGACCCTATAGAGGTCACAATTTTTATCCGATTTTGTTGAAACTTGAAATGTAAGTTTATAACCCAAAGATCTCGGTTCCTTTCGATATTTGCGCATATCAGACCGTAACTTCCTGAATTATGGCCCCTGATTGTATGAAAAATCGCGTTTTTAGCTTGTGGACCCTATAGAGGTCATAATTTTTATCCGATTTAAAAAACCTTATTATTATATCACCGTTAAACCCTAAGGAAGATTTAGTCTGAATTTCGTGAAAATCGGCCCAAAATTGACAGACAAAATGGCCGCGTTCGTTCTCAAATAGCGTAAAAATATGGTATATCAAGGTTGTGGACCCTATAGAGGTCATAATTTTTATCCGATTTAAAAAAAAGTATTATTATATCACCGTTACACCCTAAGGAAGGTTGAGTTCGAATTTTGTGAAAATCGGCCCAAAACTGACAGACAAAATGGTCGCCCTTCGTTCTCAAATAGCGTAAAAATAGGGTACATCAAAGTTGTGGACCCTATATAACTTATATTATAAGTCACAATTTTTATCCGATTTTGTTGAAACTCGAAATGTAAGTTTATAACACAAAGATCTCGGTTCCTTTCGATATTTGCCCATATCGAATTGTAATTTCCTGAATTATGGTCCTTGATTGTAGGAAAAATCACTTTCTTCTTAGCTTGTTCTCTATCCATCTCTCGAAAATGTGGGCGTATCCTGCCTGGCAGCCGCTGGTTTAGCTTTTGGTCCTTCTAGAGGTGACAATTGTTATCCGAGTGTTTATGGTCATGAGAGAAGAAGCCTATTGATTTTCAACGATTTCCGATAATTACTGCCAGAGTTATGGCCCATGATCACTTTGAAAAATCTTGTGGATGCTCTAGAGGCTAAAGTTAATATCCGATTGACTTTAAATTGATACACATGAAGAAACCTATTTATTTTCAACGATTTCCGATAATTACTGCCTGAGTTATGAAAAATCTTGTGGATGCTTTAGTGACCATAGTTATCATCTGATTGATTTTATATTTATACACCAACATTACGCCTATATATAATCATTTTGATTGACTTTAGGTTGATACAGAGTTTAAGGTCTTGAGACGAACATGTACATGTGTATTTCATTTCCAATGATTTTTGATAACTTCAACAGCCAAATCCATGATATTAAATGTTTTGTATACTAAACATTAGCATGGGCCAAACAAATTCTAATGATTTTCTGATAATTATTTAATGAGTTGTTACTCTTAATCAGATTTTAGTGTATCATAAATGTTTCATTAACAACAAAAGTAAAAATATGCAACAACTCTTGTTTGCCCGGACGATTTAGCTGCTGTAGGCGTATGTTTCATTGCCTGGCAACCTATGTTTGATTTTAGAAAAGGAACTATTTATTAGTCTTCTTGTGCACCAAGGCCTTAAAAATTAGTCACATTGCACAATGCACTTTGTGGTCTAATTTCTGAAATCCCAGTACGTGACTTTGATAGCAAATAAATTATTTTATTTTCAGTATGCAGAAAAGTTAGCCCAATTTGTAGTCCAAGAGAATATACCAAATTTGAAAGTCTGGACAAGTCAGATGAAAAGAACAATTCAAACGGCGGTAAAAATTGATGCACCTAAAGAACACTGGAAAGCTTTAAATGAAATAGATGCTGTGAGTATTGTGTTCTTGGATTACATATGTGACCCGTTCTGGCTAAATGTGCAAATTCTAACATGTGAAAATATTGATTTTGGTCGAAATTGAGATTTTCGCAAAAATGAGTCTATTATCTATCAATCTAAAAGATCAAAATAGCAACAGAACATTTTGAAACACCTTTATTTGGACGTTGTCTGAGAGTACCATATTCATAAATCTTTCTTTTTTCTTAAAATTCTCAGGACATTGTTAAACCTCATTTCTTTTCATTGCTTATAGTCATCCAACTTAGTGAAACGGTATGTACCAGAAGTTTTATTGTTGTACAACCAAGGGTTTTCATTTAGTAATATTTTTTTTTCTTTTGATTTATTAAGGGTATATGTGAAGGTATGTCTTATGAAGAAATACAAGAAAGATATCCAGAAGATTTTGCTTTGAGAGATCAAGATAAATTTCATTATAGATATCAAAGTGGCGAGGTATCATTGTACTCATTGATATAACATTACTATGGTGTCATGACTTGACTGTTTGTAGTCCACATACACTTTATACTCAAAATTATCTATCAACTTTCAACTGTTCATGATAATTAATTTTATAATTATAAGCTTTTCATAACGCAATTAAATATGTTTAAAAAGTGTTTCAGTTTACATATAGAAAATAAGAAAAAATCCATTTGTTGCATAAAGACTGAAATTGTGATAATTTGTTTTATGGTTTGGATTACAAATCATGGTGGGTGTATGTTTGCTGCAATTGAATGAAATAATGTATCATTTTCAGTCATATCAAGACTTAGTAGCCAGACTGGAACCAGTTATTTTAGTAAGTATTTTGTTAATAATATTTTCTGCACCATGTTTCATCAATAATGATTTAGACAATTGAGGTAAAAAGTTGCCTGTAACTTTGTGGAAAGAATATTTTTTGCCCATGTAAATATAATGAGGACTTTATTAAACATACATTATGCAAGAGCTAGATCTGTCTATTGCAGGTCTTTCTTTAGGCCTGAAATATTATCTTAATTATTAATTAGACATTAATTAACCTATCCAGGCCATAATCAACTCTAGATGGCATCGCTAGCCTGCGATCTTTAGTGGATTATGAGCCGATTTACTGCATAACTTTCCTTCATGATTTAACCATTAAATGGATAATCGAGACTATGCTGTTTATCGTAATGACGATCAAGGCTAGGTGTAAATTTCAACCGCTTTGTTCTCGGTTCATAGTGGATCAGTTTGAATGAAATTTTCAGCAAATTGTCTTTACATTATCTAGTTTTTAACTATTATAGTAAGAACTGCCAACTCGTTATCGAATCTCCCATAATGTATATTTAATGGCCTAAGGATTTACAGAAACTACATATATGACATACTGAGTATTAAAATTAATTCTAGTAGTTAAATAGACCACAAAACATAAATATGGGAAAAAATGTTGTTTAAATCTGTTCACTCAAACAAAGTTGAAGTAATGTAAAATTCATTCCTATATTGTCTAATACTGCTGTCTGTTCCAGGTGACACTACAACACGAAATTGGTTGCCATTTCTTCAATTTTTAATTAAAATGGCTAAAACTTAGTGACATACCTGGAATTCCCATCCCATTACTTTTTTTAAACGAGGGAACCAATTTCAGATCAAGCTATATAACCTCGCTTGAAAAATCGTGGTTTGTTTACATCGCGCTACTGAACATCAGCCATGTTTGACCTAGTTATCTGGAATAGTTGATTTGGGTGGGGGCGCTGGGTTGGCTTTGAGTCGTATCAGCCTACTTGGATGTAAATGCAGTTGTTTCGGCCCAGTAGAATATAACTTTAATTTTTACGGGATTTAAGACCACAGTTTTTATATAATAATTATGTCTGGCGCATTATCGTCCAGTTGATGCGGGCGTGTCATCAAACATCAATTACATCATTTCATTTCTTTAATCAAGGTTATGCATTGCAGAACACGGCATATGTGGCTATGGAGGGTCTCGCTTATATAATTTTGTCCTTTTCCGGTTTTGTAGATAGGCCCTCCTTTTAAACAGATTTTACTGATGTAATTAAAGTTACAATTTCATATTTTTAAGTTATATTTTTAAAATGTATTAAAATAAACCCCTAAAATAGAATGTATCTATAAACAGTCCTACCTTGTTAAAGTGGAAATTGCAAATTTTCTAAGAAAGTCAAAACGTAATTATTTCTATGTCTTTTGCTCAATAGGTTGTCAACTCACAATTATACGATCATAGGTGTCATTCTCACACTTAAGATTAATTTACACAGGAAATAATAACACAATTACCTCCCAATTACCTCCATTGTTTTCTATTCTTAGAAAATATGAAATTGTAACTTAAATGCGTAGGCAATCTCATTTTTTGAACTTGTATGTTGTTAATAATTCTGTTTCTCGAAATAACTGCATAATACTTTGGTACATCCCTTGACATCTCGCGTAATTTTCATCTTGAAATATTAAATTGTAGATAATAATAATCAATTATTCAAGGGGTTATATTTTCTGAGATTTGCCTTTTGGTCTTTTCTAACTTATTGAAATGCAATACTAAGAATATCTATGATCCAATGAACTGTGAGAAATATTGAAATACCGGCATTTATTTTGCTAATGAAAAAGGTTTAGAAAGGGCTCAGAAAATTATAGAAAACTATAACTGCTATGCAGTCATGACAGGTTTCGGCGGTGCCCATTATCCGTTAACGGACGTCACTTAACATATTCCCATGGGCATGATACATGTGTAAAATATTTACACGAAATGGCCATTTATAATAGCAGGTTGATGTGTGAAACCCTTACAAAGTGACCAATATATGCTTGATCGTATATCTACACAATATAACTTAAAGGAAATTAGTAAACATTATTATTAAAGGGTAAAGAATATAGGGTTTTTTTTTTTTCAAAATCACTATAGATGTGTTGGGCAACAGGTACATTTGAAATAAAACTTTGTTTAATAAAGGTTAAAAGTACAAATTTTGCCAAAATGAAGCCATTTCTAAAAACAAGAAGGTTACAATAATGAACAGTCACAGTAGGCATCAAATGGTGCAAATGTCATGAAAATAGAACAATATTATATTCTTTTGAAAAGTGACTCTTATATATCAACCCTACGTGTATATAAATGTTAGAAAATACACATATTATATAATAAAGAAGTTAAATAACATTTGCAGGAAAACGGAATACGAGAATCGATTCCCGCCTTCCACTGCTTATTTACAAGGGCTATCCAGACATACATCAGCTAAATTGCGATGAAATAATATTTTGTATCAATGATTATTATATAGCTAGTGCCATTGTGTACACTGTGCCGTTAATTCTGTATCAACCGGATACTTATTATCTAGTTTGTATGCTAAAAACTGCATCGCCAAACGGAGATAAATTAGATAATAGATTTTAAATATTTCTTTACAGCTGATCAGAACTGATGTACTTTGGAAAACTAATAAAGTGTTTATAAAAAAGTCCTTGATCTCAAAAACTGAGTGGCTTAATGAGCAGTTACTGTGAAATAAGCATGTGGAAACGAAACATAATATTAATCCGACCAAAAACACAAGTGTTTATCACAAGATTCGAAGTGTGAAATTGAATAAGTATTACTGCCGCAAATGAAACAGGCGAATTTTCCTTCACTAAATATTTTTAACCAAATGTACCTGATTTGGAGATCCCTGTCTACCCTTTACGCGAAATGCAAGTCTCTCATTTTGCAGATGACAGTTTCAGGTATGTCACCAAGTTTTGGCCGTTTAAACTAAGAACTGAAGAAGTGGCAAGGAATTTTAGAGTCGGAGTATCTCTTGGAACAGACAGTAGTAACACATCAAGAATGTCATTGGTTTACATTATTTTGTGTTTTGTTTTCTGGCAGCCTGTTTTTTCAGCCCATTTTTGCCTATAAATTGGTAAATGAAACTGATTTTAGGTTGTAAATTTAACCGATTGTTATTATATTGGTAGGAGTTAGAGAGACAAGAGAATGTAATGGTTGTATGTCATCAAGCTGTAGCTAGATGTTTGTTAGCATATTTTCAAGATAAAAGTTCAGGTTGGTTAATGTAAACCTTATAAGTTAAATCACTCTATATAATGACTATATTACTCTCTTCGAGTCCTTATCACTCTAATTAAAAATGGATGCCAGTTGCGTTTTGTTTATTTTTGATGTAAGTATTCATTTCGTTGAATTAGGAGTTATGATCATCTAAACTGATTGAACAAATTTAGAGTGTATTATTACAAACTATTAGAAACAATGTAATTTTCCTGCCTTAATTTATTTTCTGCAAATTCTTTGATATTTATATGTATCTCTTTTGCTTCAATGCAGACATTTTAATGCATATCTACAAAATTCAATGGCCTAGAGCTAGGGATTCTTTCATCAAGGATCTAATTCAACCAGTGTATAACGCAACAACTGAGTTGATGGATATTATTTTATAAATTAAGTTAAATGTTTACATGTATTGTTATTAATTTGCAAAATTCGATGCACTATACATGTAGTCTATAAGTTGCTTTTTTTGCATAATTTCTAGAGGAAATCCCCTATGTACCAGTGCCGTTTGAGACAGTTGTGCGAATGCGATTTGCAGGCCATCGGTGTCAATGTGACCTCATTCCTCTCTTAAGGTGGGAAATTGCACCATGCCAAGCTGCTTATGCTTTTCTTGTCTTTCTATTGTAAATGCTTAACCCTTTTTTTTTTAAATGATAGCTTCTTATTTTTTTAGGAACACTCCTCAATCCTCCTTACATGTACATACACTTGAAATATTTTGAATTTAACTCTAGATAAAATACCATCATAAAAACATCAAGAATAGGGTAGAGCAAACATTACTGGAACCCATGAAAATGCAATTTCTTACATTTCTCTACCGGTTTAATTCTTATAAATAAGAATAATGTCTGTATATATTGTTTTAAGTATCATTTAGTACCTATCAGATTAAAACATGACACAATTACATCAAAGACAATATGTCTTTTGAATTTATTACTAGTGACATTTGGACTGAGCTTTTCTCATCTCCAGCAAGGAAGCTAGTAATCAGTTCTATATAATTGTAATTTTTGAGTCTTTATAATATCCTCAATAAGATTTATCTTGCAAATTAGGATTTTGTTTGTTTTCAAAATCTGGATAAATATGTCTAAAATGTTGGTATACATGGTTGTTATTTGGGTATTAAATTTTTTATTTGCCGGTGTAATGTGCTTTGCATGGCAGTTATAATTTTAGAAGTAGACGTAGTGTTCCAAATGTAGATATGGTTGATGTGACATTTGTACCGATATTCAAAACCAAATTTGGTAGAAATTCCTTTTTATCCCCCACATTGAAATGTGGTCATATATTTTGTTGTCGCCCCCGTCCGTCCATCTGTCTGGCATCCACAATTGCTTGTGGATGCTCTAGAGGCTAAAGTGAATATCCGATTGACTTCAAACTTATACACAGTGTTTACGGTCATGAGACAAAGAAGCCTTTTGATTTTCAGCTATTTCGGATAATTAATGCCAGAGTTATGGCCCTTGATCACTTCAAAAAATCTTGAGGACGCTCTAGAGGCTAAAGTGAATATCCGATTGACTTTAGATTTATACACAGTGTTTAAGGTCATGAGACGAAGAAGCCTATTGATTTTCAACGATTTCCGATAATTACTGTCAAAGTTATGGCCCTTGATTACTTTGAAAAATCTTATGGACACTCTAGAGGCTAAAGTTAACATCAGATTGACTTTAGATTGATACACAGAGTTTAAGGTCGTGAGACGAATAAGTATATTGATTTTCAATGAATTTTGATAACAGCTAAATCCATGATATTAAATGTTTCGTATACTAAACCTTAGCATGGGGCAGAACTTTATAAAAGCCAAACAAATTCTAATAATATTCTGATAATTACTTAATGAGTTGTTACTCTTAATCAGATTTTAGTGTATTATAAATGTTTCATTACCGAAAAAAGTAAAAATATGTGACAACTCTTGTAGGTTGCTGTACAGGGTAGGCGTATGTTTCGTTGCCTGGCAACATATCTTTTAAAACTTTGATTTACAGTTAAATCCTGTGTTAAACTCCTAGAATTAAGATTACAGTAATAATTGTAGAAAATCCCTGTGTTATCCTTGTTAGATAGTTATACCTAAGATTTGTATGACATTGAATTAGGATGTGCATATATACAAATCCACAGTTAATTACTTATTTATAAATCAAAAGCAGAACCTAATTAAAATACAGATCCAATTTTGTTTTTGTATGCTCACATTGAAATGGTAATGTATATTGTCATCCCCGACTATCCATCCTTTGGATACAATTTTTTGTGATCTTTGTCAAATTTAGATATGGTGTTTACTTTAGCTAAAGACAAAAAACTATTGATCTTCTTCAAATTCTTATAACTTCCGGAGTTACTTGTATTGCCTTGATCACTTTGTACAATCTTGTGAACTGTCTAACGAGAGAAGTTATCTTCTGATTTTCTTGAAGTCTGTAAGCAGTATGCCAGTTACTGACTTCTAGAGTTATTGCCCTTGCCCACTTTGTAGAATATTTTGAAGTTTTGAACACTAGCGCCAAATTATCTCATATTTTAGAAATTTATTTATATTTATACAAAAACAAAATGAAGAAGCCTATGGAATTTCAGCTATTTCTGATAATAACTTGATTACTTTGTAGAATCTTAGTTATCAACCGATCTGCTTGAAATTTAAAATCCTTGTTCAGATCAGTGAAACAAACAATATATCTTATTACTTTAAGAGATATGGCCCTTACTCAATTTGTAGAGTTGCATGAATACTTTTTAATTTAACAGTAATACATCTACTTTAAATATATATTTCAATTTTTACGAATCTGGACTCAATGATGTACACTATATTTAATTAATGTTTTTGTTCTCGACTGCGTGAGAAATGTATCCTATAAATCCATTTGGTATATTCCAATATTTCAAAATTATTTGGATATATCATTCGATTTAACCACTACATACTGTCATTAATATGACAGAGAGATCACTTATTTAGAAACCCAATAGAACCACCACTCAGTTTATCTGTGTACTTTTCTATTCAACAATTTTGTTGACTAGAAATATGTAAGTGACATAAAGCAGGGCTCATGTCGTCCTTCCAACTGGGAGCTACTGTCATTCACAAACATTCATTTTTTATCAGAACTGTGATAGACTGGAAAAAAATATCAGACAACCAAATTTATCATCTGTGGAAATTTTAAATCCCATCTCCACAGTGATAGTTTTAAATAGTTCTCCTCGAAACCCATCTATTAAATGCCAGCAGTGGTTAATTTGATGTAACTATACAGCTCCTGCTTTCAACCAGTCAATCAAATCAGCAACTGAGGGCAACTGAATTTGCGGTTATAAGGTCGACATAAGCCCTGATTTTTATGTATTATCGCATGTTCTTTTTCCATGTCCCAAGATAAAAGATACAATTTTATAGAGACTTTTTTCTGAAGCAGCATGAATTTTGTTCAGAACTGGCAGAGAACATGTATGAAAGACTGAACGGAAAGATCAAAATTTTCTATATGAAGTTATATACAATATATTATTTCTGATCTGTGGCGTCATTTTGACTCTTGAATTACAATCAAGACATTCTGTCTTTTAACATCTTTGGTATTATGCATACAAAAAATAAACACAAAATGGTATTTAAATATAGAGTGTATTAAAATCTATTGTCTAAGCTCATCTAATATTTTAACAGCTACGCTTTGCTGCAATTAATCTTCTGTCATTTTAAATCAGTCCATCCTCAAATAATCTGTTTGAAGGAGCTAAATCGCTAACATTTGGGACCTAGAAATTGACAAAAGTGGGTCGCAACGCATATAATACTGTAATATGAATGTATATAAACTGATTTACATTCAATGGTTTCCGTTTTTACTCCAATTTCAAATCAGTTATGTTTGGCGAAATAAGCCAGCAGTCTCAAGCGAGTGCAAATTTCTAGCGTCTGGTTATTCCAGTCTACATACGCCGTTTGATTTGGTGCAATGTGTCTAGCCTCGTCCCTCGAGTCCCTTGATACATCTGGGGCCAAAGCGCATTATGGTACACGATTCGTGTACCAATGGTAAAATGTTTGTTTTGTCTTAAATATTGGATATCAAAAGCCCATCTTTTTCCGGTAAGATCACAACATGAATGTTGATTTAATTTGACGAATAAATCGTGTTTTCTATGTTGAAGATTTTGGATAATATTGAGTAGAGACTTAGCTCCTTTAAGCTACAAATATAGATTTTGAATCCCTTGCAAACTACCGCATTGTAGAAGTAAAATCTCTGAAAGGAATAGAAGGTCAAAAATGTTTCAATTCTGTTTATTATTTCCAATGATATGGTGCTTTGAAAATTCCAAACTTTCAGTATCCTCAGCAGACAATATAAACAAACCAGCACCACCTGTACATGTTGGATAAAATCTTTTGATGATCATCTTTTTATAAAGCAAAAAGTAATCCAGTCTTTAATACATCTTGAACAATACGATCATATAGACTACTGCATACAAGACTGTTTTTCTTATATAAAGGAGTTAAAATTTTGCACAATAATGGAAAGGTTACCTTTTTAGCTGCTGGATCTGAAACTTTTTGGCAATATATTTCTTTAACTTTAACAATTTTTCTACTTATTTTCTCCCTTATTGAGTACATAATTACATTATTATGATTTTTAAGTCATATACAACCATAGGGAATTTCAAACCTTTTTCTCACCTCACCTGAGAAACCAAAGCTATCTTTGAAAGATTGCAGTTAAATTGTGGCTATGTAGACAAATCCCCCCCCCCCCCTCGAAGCTCACCATACAACATTGATAATAATTTGTTAATCTAAGTATGATATTTAATCAGTTTTGCGTAGATCGGAAAATTCTTGTTGATAAATTTTGATAGAAGTTGCTTTTACTAATATAACATTACAAATAAAGAAAGTTTTATATGATGATAATTCTAAATTTATTTAGTAAGTGAATAGATTTCTACAACATTTATTTTGAAAACAACTATTTCAACCATGTCTATATGTATTGGTGTATAAAGTTTGTTAGATGTGTTTTGTGATATATCACATGTATATATAGTCAGTTATCAGTACTAATTTTATAATGTAGATCAATTATTGCATGATATTTGCACAAGTTCAATTTTACTTTAAAGCTTTTTAGGCCATAAAGAATTAATATTCTGGTTCTCAAACTTACATTCAAAATATCTGAGGGAATGATGTTCATGCTTTTTATACGCCCACATTGAGATGTGGTCGTATATTGTCGTTGCCCCCGTCCGTCCGTCCATCCGACATCCACAATTGCTTGTGGACGCTCTAGGGGCTAAAGTTAATATCTGATTCACTTTAAATTTATACACAGTGTTTAAGGTCAAGAGACGAAGAATCCTATTGTTTTTCAGCGATTTCTGATAATTACTGCCAGAGTTATGGCCCTTCAAAAAATCTTGTGGATGCTCTAAAGGTCAAAGTTAATATCTGATTGACTTTGAATTTATACACAGTGTTTAAGACGAAGAAGCCTATTGATTTTCAGCAATTTCTGATAATTACTGCCAGAGTTATGGCCCTTGATCACTTCAAAAAATCTTGTAAATGTTCTAGAGGCTAAAGTTAATATCCAATTGACTTTAAATTTATACACAGTGTTTGAGGTCATGAGACGAAGAATCATATTGATTTTCAACGATTTCCAATAATTACTGCCAAAGTTATGGCCCTCGATCACAAGAAAAATCTTGAAACGCTCCAGAGGCTAAAGTTACCATCCGATTGACTTCAGATTGATACACAGAGTTTAAGGTCTTGAGACGAACAAGTATATTGATTTTCAATGAATTTTTATGACTTTAACAGCTAATTCCATGATGTTAAAAGTTTTGTATACTAAACGTATGGGGCAGAACTTTATAAAAACCAAACAAGTCCTAATGGTTTTCTGATAATTACTTAATGTATTATAAATTTTTCATTACCAAAAAAAGTAAAAATATGCGACAACTCTTGTTGACTGCCCGGACGATTTAGCTGCTGTGGGCGTATGTTTCATTGCCTGGCAACCTTTCTTTATTAAGTCTTGTGTTAAATTCCTGAAATTGACTTAGGCCTGCTTTCCATGTATGCGTTTCGGTGGACAAAAAAATTGGTCCAGTACAAATATAATGTGACTGTTTTCCATGTAAGTGCAGAACGAAAAGTTCCTAGATACACCTAAGAAGTTGTTTTTTTGCTTAATATATTGTAAATTTATATTGTTGTGTAATTCTATATTTAATTAAAAGTAAACAACCATCACAGCTTTGTGGAAAACTTGTTTTCGTTAATGATTGAGTCATTCTGAAAATTTGGGTGGCAATGAAAATTTTCGAGCAAATAGCCTCAGTCCCACTATGCCTATGGTCAACCGACTGTTTACTGCACGTGAAAATGCCAGGCTCCATCCTGTAAAGAGAAATCCTCACTGATGACGTCATTTACATTGAATTTTCCAAACTTTTCAGCGATTTTTTTATACATTTGGAAATACAAAGTGTCATGTGCAGAAATGCTATATTTTCCCGCTGGCCAGAATGCCATGAATTCCCACTGATGGAAACGCGTATTTGAAAAGCAGGCCTTATGCCGAATAGTAACAAGTTTGTTTACAAGCAGTAACTAATAATCATGGACTACCAGAGTAAGTGCACATGTTGTAGTTCTAATGAATGTTGCTCCTATCGCCCATCTCTATGAAGTATATTTCTCATTAATACATAAACAATGCTCGCTCTTGAAAGTGTATTAAAAATTAATGAATGGGTGCTATTTCCAGATAACTATACAGGGAAGGTTTATTTTCATACTGATTCAGGTCAGACTCCTAACCCCAGTTAGATAACGTAAAGGTCTGGTTTAAAGGACAATATTGGTGTCAGCCATTATAATATATGTGATAGAGCTCGTTAAATACATCCCAAATATAATTTTAACAAAGAGATCATTGCTACGGGAGACTTGTAACAAGCATGTGAGAAACGGGAAGTGACATCAAACATGACAAACATGATTTGTCCGCCTATATAACTGACTGAAGTAACGAGCGGTAACAGACAAACGATCGAATTTCATTTCACTGATAATTCCGTTGAAGATGAAAAGTTGTTATATGAGACGATGAGAGGATATCTGACAATTGAAAAAAAAGAATTGGCTGTCAGTAGATAAAAGATAACCAACAAATTAGAAAAGGTCCGTGCATTACCATGTTTTTATTAAGAACAGAATGAATAAAAACGGGGGAATGCACAGGATTTTTCTACTTTTTCTCGTGTCCCTTATCTAGTGACAGCCAATTCTATTTTTGAATTGTGAGATACCCTCTCACCGTCCCATATAATAACTTTTCAACTTCAACGGAATTATCAGTGAAATGAAATTCGATCGTTTGTCTGTTACCGCTCATTACTTCAGTCTGTTATATAGAAGGACAACTCGTGTTTGTCATGGTTGGCGTCACTTCCCGTTTCTTCACGTGCTTGTTACAAGTCTCCCGTAGCAATGATCTCTGTGTTAAAATTATATTTGGAATGTATTTAACCAGTTCTATCACATATGTAATAATGGCTGACACCAATATTGTCCTTTAAGTATTCCCCTCAACCAGAATTCTTGATAGATGAATTTTCTATATCCCCCGTATCTGTTGGTGTCATTTGTAATTGTGAATAGTCCGATTAAAAACCAATAGCTAACTGCGTAACAATATCATTACGCTTTAAACAGAGCTCCAAATTGGACCAAATATGTTTACATAACGTTACATCATGACTCACGATTTTATTATGCCCAATTAACCAGTGCATAGCAGAATATTGCAGAAAAACTAATTGCGTGACAAACGAGGCTATCAAAACAAATACAATGTAAACAATATAGTTTGGAGACAAACAATAATTTCACCGTTTTTAATACCTTAAATCACTGTCCAAAGTTTTAGGGAAGACCCCAGATTAAACGAAGGGCTGTCATGTTGCTGTACTTGGGATAGATTTGATTGAACAGGAAGAATAAACACACTCCCTCAAAAGCTCAAGTATTAGAAGCCAATCCAGCAATGGCCAGAGAAGGATTTCTCGGGCCATTGCTTCAGGAATATGAATAGGATTATACTTTCTATTATCTTACACGTTTTGTTAATGGGTGCTATCTGAGAACCAGAATATTTTTACTAAAGATTGTTTAGGTTTAATGTTTCTCTTTGTTCAATTCATGTATTTAAAAATGTATACGGTTTATTAGTTGTTTGAATTCCTTTCTGATCTTTAACTAGGAGAATTTTTAAAGATTTTGTTTATTACAATTCCTCTCTTACTCTTAGTAACTTTTGTCCCTAACTAACAATTTTATCATTTTCTTTTCTTATATAATTTTGATTGCTGGTTATTTCTTACATGTAAATTGATTCAATCTCATATACAAAAAATAATTGACAATAGAAGATCAATTGAGCATATATATAAATGTTTGCCTGCACCATTTGTTGTTTATACTATAGACTACATGTATAGTGAAATATATTTTAATCTAAAAAAAAGTTTAGTTGTAGGCTAATTTATTTTATAGTTGCAGGCAAAGAGACAGGTAACATGGATTTGTCTAATTTAAAATGATGTTTGTATAAATTTTCTATTACAGACGACCTTCCCTACTTGAAAGTTCCTCTTCATACAGTGATAAAGTTGACTCCAGTAGCCTATGGTTGTAGGGTAGAATATGTATCATTAAAAATTGATGCTGTAAATACTCATAGAGAGCGACCAAAGGTAAGTCATACTTTCATTTTTCTAAGCCCACATTTTCATGTGGATGTATATTGTCGTCGCTCCTGTCCATCTGGATGTCTGTCAGTTCGTCTACAGGTCACAGTTTTGTCCGATTTTGACGAAACTTGAAGATGTTGGTTCTTTTTGATTTTGATGAAACTTAAAATGTATGTTTATAACCCAAAGATCTCGGTTCATTTCAATATTCGTACATATCGGAACGTAATTTCCTGGATTATGGCTCCTTATAGTACGAAAAATCTTGTTTTTACCTTGTGGTCCCTCTAGAGGTCACAATTTTTATTTGATTTCAAAAAACGTTTAAATATATCACCGCTAAACCATAATGAGGGTTGAGTTTGAATTTCGTAAAAATCAGACCGCAATTGCCGGTCAAAATAGCTGCTCATTGTACGAAAATAGTGTAAAAGTGTGTAATAACAAAGTTTTGGACCCTCTATTTTTATACGCCCACATTGAAATGTGGTCGTATATTGTCGTCGCCCCCGTCCGTCCGGCGGTCCGGCGTCCACAATTGCTTGTGGACGCTCTAGAGGCTAAAGTTAATATCTGATTGACTTTAAATTTATACACAGTGTTTAAGGTCTTGAGACGAAGAAGCCTATTGATTTTCAGCGATTTCCGATAATTACTGCCAGAGTTATGTCCCTTGATCACTTTGAAAAATCTTGTGGACGCTCTAGAGGCCAAAGTTAATATCCAATTGACCTTAAATTTATACACAGTGTTTAAGGTCATGAGACGAAGAAGCCTATTGATTTTCAACGATTTCCGATAATTACTGCCAGAGTTATGGCCCTTGATCACTTCAAAAAATCTTGTGGACGCTCTAGAGGTCAAAGTTAATATCCAATTGACCTTAAATTTATACACAGTGTTTAAAGTCATGAGACGAAGACGCCTATTGATTTTCAGCGATTTCCGATAATTACTGCCAGAGTTATGGCCCTTGATCACTTCAAAAAATCTTGTGGATGCTCTAATGACCAAAGTTAATATCCGATTGACATTAAATTTATACACAGTGTTTAAGGTCATGAGACGAAGAAACCTATTGATTTTCAACGATTTCCGATAATTACTTCCAGAGTTATGGCCCTTGATCACTTCAAAAAATCTTGTTGATGCTCTAGAGGCTAAAGTTAACATCCGATTGACATTAAATTTATACACAGTGTTTAAGGTCATAAGATGATGATGCCTATTGGTTTTCAGCGATTTCTGATAATTACTGTCAGAGTTGTGGCCCTTGATCTCTCTGAAAAATCTTGTGGATGCTCTAGAAGCGAAAGTTAATATTCGATTGACTTTAAATTTATACACAGTGTTTAAGGTCATGAGACGAAGAAGCCTATTGATTTTCAGCGATTTCCAATATTTGCTGCCAGAGTTATGGCCCTTGATCACTTTGAAAAATCTTGTGGATGCACTAGAGGCCAAAGTTAATATCCGATTGACTTTCAATTTATACACAGTGTTTAAGGTCATGAGACGAAGAAGCCTATTGATTTTCAGCGATTTCCGATAATTACTGCCAGAGTTATGGCCCTTGATCACTTCAAAAAATCTTGTGGATGCTCTTGAGGCTCAAGCTAATATCCGATTGAGTTTAAATTTATACACAGAGTGTTTGAGGTCATGAGACGAAGATTCCTATTGATTGTCAACGATTTCCGATAATTACTGCCTAAGTTATGGCCCTTAAGTTATCATCCGATTGACTTCAGATTGATACACAGAGTTTAAGATCTTGAGACGAACAAGTATATTGATTTTCAATGAATTTTTATGACTTGAACAGTTAAATCCATGATATTAAAAGCTTTGCATACAAAACGTTAGCATGGGGCAGAACTTTATAAAAACCAAACAAATTCTAATAGTTTTCTGATAAATACTTCGTGAGTTGTTGCTCTTAATCAGATTTTAGTGTATTATAAATGTTTCATTACCGAAAAAAGTAAAAATATGCGACAACCCTTGTTGACTGCCCGGACAATTTAGTTGCTGTGGGTTATGTTTCGTTGCCTGGCAATCTATCTTTATTTGATTTTGATGAATATGTTTACATTCAAAAGATCTCTTGCAAAATGTGGGCGTATCTTGCATGGCAACTGCTTGTCTAATCTGATGTTAAGGTCAGCAACTGAAAGCTAAGCATGAAATTGCCCTTTCTTTGGGTGGGGGGAGGGGGACCTAGGTCTTGCTTGACAGTTCGAAAGCGAAGAAGAGTTGACAAAATTCTCCCACCTGGCATTGATGTTTAATCATAGAAATAAACCAAATGTTTGTCCACAAATTTTCAGGGTATTGTGTTGAGATAATAGACCCCATTCCGTTCTAAACTGATTTTATGTCAATAGAATCCGCATCAAATTTGGTATGTGCCGGAAGACGGAGTGAAAAACTAGAGGGGGTGTAAATGTAAGATGAAATATGAAAAAACTGTCTCCTTTTATTTGCTTAGTGGTGTTTAAATGTAATTTTATGTCTCGTTTTTTTATTTTCAAAATATTTTACACAAGTTGCATTGTAACTCCATTTTGTATAGTATGCTTTATTCTGCACTGTATCAGTCGAATCCTCAGCTAGATAATTCACCGAAAAACATACACAGGAAATTTACTTAATTAAAAATAAAACTTTCTTAGATTCTGTTATGTGTATGACCATTTTCATGGCTACTGTGAGATAATGTTTAGGCATGACTTAGAAAGAGAAGGTCTTTTGTTTTGGAGAATTTTCAGATTTTAAGGATGATATTTACTGTTCAGAAGTTGAATTACTGAGATTTATTTATGTAAGACTGTGTACAGATTAACAAATAGACTTATCTTGTATCAATATTCCTGAATTTTGCAACATGAGATATAGAACAATATGGTTTGTATTTTTTAAAGGTAATTAATTCAGCTTAACACATGTATAATATATTTGGTTCTGAAAAGGAATGTGTGATTGTAAATGCACAAGACCTTACCAAAAAGGAGGTCCTATATTAAGTTAATATAATTCTGACTCCCTGGCCCCATCAAGTCTTAGGATAGCCATAAATTGGCTGCTTCTGGAAAAATTGAAAAATTTCAGTTTATTGTCAAAATGGTATTCAAGACCATACGAAATATGGAAGTGAGTCAAACTGTGAATGCTAACATCAGGATTAGCACAAATTGTTGTTAATTCTAAATTTGGGATGAGTACATTCATAATCATAACCTAAAAACTGGGCTTATTTGGATGTAGCATGAAATTGTGAAATGCATGACACATAGCTAGATAGTCATCTTTATTACATGTTATATATGATGTCCATCCATTCCCGAGATTCCAATTTCTTGGTAGAAAAAGATATCTTGTACATATAGTTGAAATATCTGCAATTAATGAGGATTAATATTGAGGGAAATTCATTATATTAATTATTCCCAGCTGACCAATGTTTGCATTGCTTGAAAAGTGTAATACACCTTCAAATAAACCCCTTGACCTGTTCGAAATCAAATTTAAAATTTTATCACTACTCAACTAATATTGAATTGGATTAGAAACCTTCTGGACCTTACTTCCCCTTAAGTTTGAATCGATGTATCTGTAGTCATATTCAGCCATAATTCAATGGACTATGACCACACTGTAGTCTGTAGTCTAGAATTTCTAAAGGAGGATGGATTATAAAACTAATATTATCATATGCAATCTGTAGAATATTAGGCAAATTCCTAGGTAGACTTCCATTAAATAATTATGGTGATGAGATAGTTTTTGCCAGATGTCCAATAAAGTTACTATATGTATGTAATTTTAAGGGTGCCTGTATATGCACCATGATAATATAGAATAAGGTATTTTATTAGTTACACCAATCATTTCTGTGAATAAATCAATTTATTACGGATACATTAAATATGCTTTTCTTAAGAGATGGGCATCGACACCTTGTAATATTATGAGACTAGCAATTATGTTACAAGATAATTTTTACAAAATAACATGTTGACTGAATTGGAATTTTAAAGGGAGAGACCTGCGTAATTATTCTTGCACAATTTTTGTTTGATTAAGAATTGTATGTACATTGCACGCTATTTTTCTAGTCGTTTTCTTAGCATGGCTTTAAAAGATAAATCCGGGGCTCATGCATTACATGGTAAGTAATTCCAATGTGGCTTCTAAATTCTATAGAATTAGCTGACAATTCATGTTGCAATTTTATAGTAAATTTTATTTTTAAGCAGTGTAACTTGACAATATTTTTATCTTTACGGCCTGAACGGGGGTCTCTTCCTTTATGGGAATTTGATACCTTTGAAATTTCTAATTGTTACATGTATAAATTCAATGTTAATTTAGGAATAAAGAATAACTTGAAAAAAAGAGTTATGTTAAAAGTTACATGAAGGAAATCTACTCTTCATTTTGCAGATGGCCTTACCAAATGGTTCTATTAAAACAATAACAGATACTGCTTCCTGCTCATGTGCTTCAAAAAATTGATATAGATAAAAAAAAGCTTGATGACTGCATCAATACCATTGAGTTCAAGAATAAATATTCACTTGCTGCTGAGTTCTTATTGTATCTGGCCATTCTGCCTGTCTGTGATTCTACCCTTGTTAATCCATCAAGAGATCTTGTATTTCAACATTTTACAGTTGTGTTCTGACATCACATGGATTTTAATATTATTATATTATAATATATATGTCTAAAATTAAGATAATTAATTAGCTTTTCTTTTCCTTTTTTTTTTCTTTTTATATAAGCCCCTATATGTTGGTCTGTCGTCCACAATTTATTGTGCCCTCTTTACAGACTATTTTTATATCTGATATCTTTTAAAGATAGTTATGTTTATTACATTAGTGAGATAAAGAAGTCATAATTTCAGCAATGTTACATAATAAACTCCAGAGTTATGCCTCTTGTTCATTTACATGCATTGTTCAAATTAGTGCTAGGGCGGATTGATTTTTATACACCCACATTGAATTGTGGTGTATATTGTTGTCGGTCAGTCCGTTCATCCCACGTCCACAAGCAATTGCTTTAGAGGCTAAAGTTAATATCCGATTGACTTTAAATTTATCGATTTTCACTGATTTCCGATAATTACTGCCAGAGTTATGGTCCTTGATCACTTTGAAATATCTTGTGGACGCTCTAGACGGTAAAGGTAATATCCAATTAACTTAAAAATTTATACACAGTGTTTACGGTCATGAGATTGGTTAAGACTTGAGCACACGATAACTTTGGTTTTAATTGGGTGCGATGAAAGTCTTGAGTATAGATTCATTATATCAATACCTTGACTAATTTCGAGTTTTCTGCTTAGGCCAAGTAGCGATAAGCAATTTGATTGGTCTTTGGACAATTCCATTGAGGTAGAATGTTTAAACTTGGTGTAGATGTCTTGACTGAGTTCAATGATTCACATTTCCCAAAGCAAATTCATTGGTCAATGTTTTGGGACAAGACAACTTTGATTCTAACTGATGGAGAGCGATTAAACATCAGCCTCACTGTTGGCATGTTACTTTGTAGAACGTTGTGAATGTTCGATGACAAGAGTTATTATTCGATCTATATGAAATTGATATGCATTATTTTGATTAGTAAACCAAAGAAGCCTATTGAATTTCATCAACTTCATTTAATTACCTTATAGGTCAAAAATTATCAGCCAGTCTATTTGAAATTTCTGTGCATGATTTGAATTGATGAAACCGGCCAATAAAAAAAGAAAGTCACCACCTGATCTTTGTTTCGATTATTGCAATGGATAAAAATTGCAACAATTTCTGATAATTGATTATACAGTTATTGCTCTTGATTATGCCATAACACACCAATGATATACCTACATTTTAAAGATTTTGCTTCTTATATACATAAAGTATAAAGATTCCCAATGTGACTACCTTTATGGTCACCTCTGACAACCTAGCTGCTATAGCCCTATGTTTTGTTCACAACAAAGTATGTTTTTAAACATTAAAAAGGTGTTTAATCACTAATTCTTGATAGGATAGTTTAATATTTTAGTATTTGCATTGACCAAAGTGCTGACAAGGGATACGATATAAATAAACTAGTCCATTCTGCTATGGCATCCCAAGTTAATTTCATTTCCAATACAAATTTTGTCTTCTGTATTTTGGATGCACATTTATTGTGCACTCAATGCAATACAATAGAATCCTTCAGCATTAAGTAATTTTAGTACATTGTAATTAATTAGTTAGTCTTAGTATTTGAGTGTATATATATACACTCAAAGCCATTAAAAATGCAATGCCAAATTCAAAGTTTATTTACTGCAACAACTTTTAACAAATGTACATAACAATTGACAAAATCGAGGTAACAAGCATCTGTGGATAATTTCATGAAAGAATTCACCACAAATGCACAAAACCGAAACGTCAGAGAACCATGAAACAAAGCAGGGGACAGCTGAAGTCAATATCGGGTATGCCCACCCTGAGCTCTTACACATGCCTGAAGTCGCCTTAGCATGGACTGGCACAGATGTCTCACTACACGCTGTTTGTTTGACAATGATTTTGGAGTGCCGGTGCCAACACTGCAACAGTTTGTGGTGGCACGGCTTGAGTTCGAACCCGTCGTCCAAGTTCCTCCCAAAGCTGTTCGATCGGGTTCAAGTCGGGAGACATAACGGGCCAATCCATAACACGGACATGAGGTTGAATCAGGATTCATCCGTGAAGATGACATTTCGCCATGGTGTGTTGTGCAGATATCCCTGATTTGCGGCCCTTTGCTGCCTGGCAAGTCAATGACGATGCAAACGGATTTGACCTTGGTAAGTTGACGGCAGCATAACCCTAGAGTAGAGCAGCCAGACGCCTTCGGACTGAGGGCTGATCTTACATTGCCATGTTTCAACAGTTCGCCTGGCAGTAGCAGTAGCTGACTGGAACCTGTTGCGCAGATGCTGTAGTCAGATGTGGCGATCTTGCGCAGCGTTTGTTACAGGTGGCGCTCCAGGTCAATCGGCAACTCTTCTAGGGGCGTGTGACTTGGGACTGCTTAAAATCGTGAAAAAAGACAAGTGTTGCGTTTGCAGGAACAAAGTTCATTACCGAGAACTGATATTGGGTTCAAACCCAGAACTGCACAAAAAGAGACCCAAGTTTCACCTACGTGCCACAAGATAGGAAAGGCCAAGAAAACGTTTACCAGAAATATTTCACGAATTAGGCATTGCGTTTTTAATGGCTTTGAGTGTATGTATATATATATATGTGTATTTAAAATACAGATGTACTTTAAGTTGTTCAATGGTCTTGAGCTTAAGACATTGCATAATATATTGAAACAACTGCTTGGAACTGATGTCCCTCGTGTTGTTTCAATATACTTAATGTCTCACTCTCGACCATTAAACCACACTTAATCCTTGTTTTAAATTTTGAAAAGAATAAACTTCTTCAGCATTAATATTGAGTAATTGTTAGATGTATTTTGCAATTAATTAATTAGTCTTATTAGTTTCTTGATATTTATTGTGATAATTTTTGGTTTTGGAATTTGATATATATTTGTTGATTTATTTTATAAAAGTGCTTTTAAATAAACCTCTTTTTTTTTTATTGAATTTTATGTTTTTTGAATGCTGGTGTCAAAACAATTTTGATTGGTTTAGGTTTGCATTTATAGGTGTTAGAATTTTATGTAACTGTAATAAAATATTTTAAATATGTGTATTATGTTATCAGTGCATATAAAGTTATAAACTAGAATTTTCAATATTTATTTATATTGTTATATTGTACATAATTGCTTGTATACGATTTTTTTTGTTTTTGGATATGATTGCTGATATTTTATTTCTATATTATGTTTTATGAATATCATTATTTATTATATTATCAATAAAAATGCTGAATACGAAATTGTATTAAGAAAATGATACATTCCATTCATTGTTTAAACATTGTTAATGAAGTGAAAGCACGAGATAATTTTATAAATGAATTGTAACCCTATTCAGTCGGTGAATTACTTATGTGGCTAATTAACCAAAGAAAAAGAAAGCTGGATACAAGAAAGTTGTGCAATGCTTGATACAAGTTTTATATCTAGTTAGATTATGAATTGAAATTGTCATTAGTAACAGATTGAAACCTAGTATTATTCATGATTGAAATCACAAATATGGCATTTATAATTTTATAATAAATAGCCCCAAAACTGGAACTATTTGAATCATTTAAAATGACTGATGTTATCAGTATCACTTTTCTTCCAAGCAGGGCTCTCTTTTGGTCTTTTTCCCTCAGTCTTGGCTGAATTTACTTGCCTTTTCATTTTACATTAGGACGTTTTTATTTCAAAGAGTAAGGAATGAATTGAACTAGTTAAATATTTAACAGGATGTATCTCTATAAATTTTTTTAAATCAATCCAAAAATGTCATAGGCTCATTTATTAAGTATGCAACCCTGATAAATATTACTGACAGTCATTAATGATACTGGATCATCATACATAATGCCTTGAAATGTGATGTTTAAAATAAATCATTTAGTCCAGTAATGATTCTTTTACAAAATCAAAACATGAAAATAAAAACCTTTTATTCAGGATTATCTTAGAACCAGAATATTTTGTATGACCTTAAGATAGTGCTAAAAAATTGTTTTTTTCTTAAAAAGAAAAATCTGGCCGATGTGAGAAAGATAAAATATCAAAGACTGGCTTATAAAATATTGGAGTTAAACCCCTGCTCTGAAGGTGTGTTGGAGGTGATGAAGCTCTGAGTTCAGTTTATAGAATGTTCCTGATATTTTAGTGATTGAATATTAGAAAATTTTGTTTATTATGCATTAATTTAAGATTCAACTATTGTTATATTATGGTTATCTTGTCAACATTTTTATTATGATTTTATAATGTCTTCACATTGTTCGTCTTGTCTGAACTCCTGAATGGTTCACACAAATATTTAAATACAAATAGTCTTTCAAGGCTACCATCAATTTAAACAAGTGGAATTTGATCTGAATTTTCACTAAAAACAAACCGGTAAATAAAACTATTTTGATTTGAAAGATTTATAGTTTCATGCAATAAGAAGATTATCATTATGAATATTCTGGTAGTAAAATCTGCATTCAATGTGACTACTAAAACTGTTAATTATTGAGTTTCTGAAATTAAGTCTTCCATCTATATATTTACATTTAATGTTTTAAAGCTTGGTATAATTGTAAAATAAATACAAGAGCTTATTAGTGACAATAATTTATTGACATAGCTTTGACCACAGTTAGGTGGTATGTTTATAATTACCACTGATGACTTTGCTGCTTGTGGGAATATAAGGAGACCTGACAAGTCCTTGGTTTTTTTTTAATTAGTGTATTTTGGAACGTTTTGCCATTATGTATCTATTACATATCTTTGTATTAATGAATGAATGAAAACTAGAATCAAAAGAGAAATGCTTACCGTTATATATTTTACTATGTTAGTCATATTTTAGAATGATGAGTCTATTTATAATTGTTATTTATACAAAGTAGTCAATAAATAAAACATTTGTATAGTAAAAATGACTATATTTTTTTGTAATATACAACATATGTTGGTGAAGTTATATTGGTACTAATAGTAGGATTGCCTTTGAAACTTCTGGGGGAGTAATTTAGTTGGTCAAGCTTGCAATGGTACTAAATTCTAGAAGAATGGGCAGGGCTTGTTAGGTTCTTTCGAAAGTCAAAATTCATAAATTCTACTCTCATTATCTAAAAAGTTAAATGTTTTTTTGACCCTTCTCCACCATAATTTGACTACAGACGTTGACTGATCTAAGTGTGTAGCCCTTTATTCCGCCTTCTGAATCTAGTCGTATTATAACTGTGGGAAAAGACACTGTTAGTATTTGGTATGAATTTTTTAAATGTAATCTGTAGTCTTCTGTCTTGTGGAACAACAACCATAAAAAGAGTTGGAGTCCCCTCTAGCTCCTTAGAACCAAATGTTCCTGGGAATGGGAAAGAAAGGGTTATTTTATCACTGAAACTATAGTTAACATCACTAGAAACTGTTGTTGATGCCATAAGAAACCATTGTTAACTTAATGGAAATTGTTATCAGCTTCACTAGAAACTGTTGTTAACATCCCTAGAAACTATTGTTAACCTCACTAGAAACTGTTGTTAATGTCCTTAGAAACTGTTATCATCATTAGAATCTGTTGGTAACTTAACTAGAAACGTTTGTTAACATCCTTAGAAACCATTATCGTCACTAGAAACGTCATTAGAAACTGACGTGACTGTCATTAGACACTTCACAAGTAACAGTTGAGGTTAGAAAATTGTTAATTTCACTAGAAACTGTTCAAATTACTGGAAATTGTTAACATCGTTAGAAACCGGTGTTAATATCACTAGAAACTTGTTAAACTTATTTAAAGATGTGAAAACTGCAAGTTTAATAAATATACCTGTAATTTTGTCACTAAAATTATTGGGTAGTTCAATCTCCATTTGAGTGTGCAAAATGTAAGCAAGTTCAATATAATCCTAAATAAAAAAATCTTGGTAACCTATGCCCCGAATTTTTATCAACTGAACCATTTATTTAATATTTTTCAGGTACTGAAACGTGGACGTTCTACATGTGAAGCCTTAGAGACTGTTCCAGACCATCTGTAGAATTATTACAACTAAATATCTCAGATTTTTGGACATCCAGTTAACCAATTGAGTCAACATGAAACGGGGAAAAACTCTTACAGATATTACAAAAAATTCAGTACAGGTCATACTATTAGGAATTTAATTAATCACAACCTTTTTGTAAAACGGAATCTTACTACCCATACTCCTAGATCTGTATTTCCAAAATAATGTTTATATTAACAGGATGTCGGCCGACTGTAAAATGGGTACATTGAAGAATTCCAGCAAAAAATTTTAGTAAGTTTTTCAGAAGAAAACTTTTCTGTCATACACAAAATATCTAAGGATCAGTTGGTTTACAAATCCATTATATCAGTATTCTATATATATATATATTCATGTCATACACAAAATGAAATATTGTTTTTAAAGCAAAATATTATGACTGACAAAACTAGATTGATCTGTACATTATTATAGCATTTATTACAAAAAAGTTTTTTTTTAAATCATTTATTTTATACAAAAATTATGCAAATTATCCTATAGCACATCTTCCTCTGTCATATTATTGTTGCCAACATCTATAAATTGTTTTGAAAACTTGGAAAATATGTGATTGATGTATTATTTGCTTGCTAAAGATAGGATAACTCTGTTTAAAACTCCACTAAGCAACTTACCTTCCATATAATTGTGTCAAGTTGTATTACAATTAGAGAATTTGTTGAAAATAGATAATTTGTTAAGAATACTTTCAAAAAACTATTTTTAAAAGCAATAAATGTTATATGCAATATGCCGAAGTGAAAAGCATCAAACATTGTATTATTTTTACTGTAAAAGAAAGCTAAAAATTGTTTTTATTATTTATTTGCAAATCTTGTGTATTTTTTCCTGTTATATCTAGTCTTTTTTTAAAAACAATATTATTCTGTGTCTTAAAAGGGAGATAAACCTCTTTGATTTAGGACAAAATAAAGTATTTGATTAATCTGATGTGTTTTTCCCCACCAACCTTTCAAATAAAGCAGGGGACTATTAAAATGGATCTGTTTTTCTTTCTGTCTGTCAAACCTTCTGGGACAAAAAAACTTCTCTGCTAATTGAGGTAGAATGTGGGGCATACCATGTCAAGTGTACACACCTCATTGACACCATGGTAACAGATTCTTTTCAATTTTTCTCCAAAAGTTAGCCCCACCGAGAAAACAATTTATGTGAAATTTCAGGTTTGAAAACCTAATGGGTCAGTTTTTTGGGCTGACTCAATTTTGGGCAAATCTGGTGGGTCAAAAACCTTCCAACAGCTATAATTTTCCTCCTAACAGTCTGATTTTCATAAAGTTGCTACCAAAATGATCAGGAAATCAAGACCTTTCATTTGAAGTATTACACGATGTTATCAGATAATGTTTTCCAATTTTCTTTTTATTTCTTTGACCCTGTCCGGGCAGAAAATCCGATGACCCCCAATTTTTTCTCAAAATCATTTTCTATATATCATCCACCTGTTTGCCAAAAATAAAAATGGGATCTCGGGGGAAATGAAGGTCAAAGTCATAGGGTTTCGCAATTTCAACTTTTGGGCTCAATATTACAACGCCATTCAGGCAACAAAGCAACACACAGGGTATAATATGCATCCCTGACTGTAGGCTATCATCCTTTGAGAAGACATGTTTTAAAGCATAAGAATTTTCCTATTATATTATCATATTCAGTGCCATTATAATAACGATAGCTTGATTTATGACTTTTAACTCATAAACTGACGTCAAATTTCATTATTTCAATCAAAATTTTCAATTCAGGGAACTTTGAATTCACTGATGTTTTTCTAAAGCCTTGCTGGAATCGGCAATCTCTTTATTTGACAGTTCATACGTCCTGCCGGTAGATGTTCGGGATCAACTCGGAGGAGCACGTCGCTGATGTCGAGGAGACACCTTTCAGTCATCTGGGGAAACACAAAGCTTTTTGTGAGTCCGCTCGGGTGAAGGAATTTCACTTTAACTTCATGTGTGTCGTCAAAGGCTTCCTCTATGTAGGACAGCCACCAGTGTCCGTCATAACGTACCGTGACGTATCTCCCCAAAGGTCCTTCAAATCTCGGTGCCGAACCGGAAGTTACAACAGTTTCAACTCTAAGAGTCCACCGAGGAACTGAATTCTGCGAGGTTTACTGTAACAGAAAATATATTCACTTTCGTTTCTCAGAAAATGCTGGATACCAGTCAAACATACACTGGACCCCAGGTTCAACCATGCAGACTCAACCCAGGTGGCATTTTTCGAAAGTATTTTTGGGCATGATCCCATTTTCATTTTTGGCACACGGGTGGATGATATATAGAACATGATTTTGAGAAAAAAAATGGGGTCATCGGATTTTCTGCCCGGACAGGGTCAAAGAAATAAAAAGAAAATTTGAAAACATTATCTGAAAACATTGTGTAATACGTCAAATGAAAGGTCTTGATCTCCTGATCATTTTGGTACCAACTTTATGAAAATCAGACGGTTAGGAGGAAAATTATAGCTGTTGGAAGATTTTTGACCCACCAGATTTGCCCAAAATTGGGTCGGCCCAAAAAACGTCAATTTGGGGTCGATTCGCCTGAAATTTTGTTTTTACACTTTTTTCATCCCACCCCACCATTAGACATCAAATGAACGAAATCTGAGATGTCTTGTCATTTTTCGGTCGGAAAGTGTGTACACCTGACGTGGAATACCCCATGTGCTATTTTCAAACTTGGTGTAGATGTTCATGAGAGGAATACTTTGACTGATTTTGATGATCATTTTTTGCTTAGGCTATGCAGAGATAAATAATTTGATTTATCGAGACTCAATGACACGATAACTTTAATTCTAATTAAGTCGGAATGATGAAACTTGATATACAGATATATAACCTTGTCTAGGTTATCCGAGCGATAAGTAATTTTGATTGTTCATTGCTTTGTAAAAGATAAATATTTTGGGACATCAGCCTCGTTGTAGTCTCTATCATCCAGAAAAATATTCTACGAATATTAGTCTGGATGGGTTGTCAATATTTGAGAATAATAGGTCATTGACTAGATTATCCAGTCTTTTATATTATCGTGAACAAAGTCTAAGGGAGGTAACTAGTCCTAAAACAAGATGTTGACGCCCATGAAATTAATTTAAGAATTTCCATTTCAGAAAATCCATCTGCATTACATGTTCAGTATCCATGGGCCATATCTATGTTTTTTAATAAATTCTAATTTGTTGTCACGATTCATGTTTGTTTATAAATAATGCATGAATTATGGGATTTATTTTGGGAAGGGGCGCAGCTCTTACTTGACTTGGCCAAATAATACTGGATAATCAACCACATAAAAAAACAAACTCCCGGTTAAGCATAGGCAATGGAATTTTTCATCAAATATTGTCAACGGTCCCATACCCCCCATACGTTGAAGACTAGTGGGTGCTGGGTGACCGAGACTAGCCTCTTGTTGGCTTGTTTCAATTATTTATGGGCCAATCTCGTTTTCTTTTGAAACTCGTAGGCGGGAATCAAGATATTTACTAATTTTTGTCAACTCTTCAAATTTAATTAAATTGACTTTTATTTTTTACTTAAAACAAAGCGGCTCTATCCTCTTAATCTTTTGTCATTTGATCTCAATCTTACTATTTGTTGATTTAACTTGATTAACGTGTACAATTTTTAATTCTAGTATGTTAATGTTTGAGCTATATATTGTTATATTTTGTAATGTAAAAGTTAACATCTAAACATATTGCTGTTTGAATCCAGGCACTATACAATTACATTATTATTACATAAGGTTGTGTAATAATCATATATAGCTATTCAAATCCTGGCGCTACTTGTGTAATTATCAATTATTGTTTGAAAATTGGTGTTCATAATTTCAGTATCAAACAATGTATTCATACTTTTTAATTATATATGCATGTGATAATCATAAAAATAAATAGAACTTAGAGATTTAATCATTTATTTACTATACAAAGGATAATCTTGTATGTGACAAATGGTTCTCATATATTTAATTACTGTATTGTATATTTTTACTCACTGTATATTATAAATATATATATTTATATATAGAATCTAATTAAGTAATTTAGATGCAAAGATGCAATCATTTTAGAATCTGGAATTTTAGAAAAAGTCTCAACCAGTTGCGAAATATATATTATTATGTTAACATTTTTTAGCAAACACAATACATGGTCTAATCGCTGCTCACATTCTATTCTCTTCATGTGGAAAGTTTGTTCAATGATTGCAATCAACCACTTGACAAAGCTAAGTGGAAACCATGTGATTGTTCTAGACAAAATATTGAACTTGTTGATCTATTTGTTGACTTTATGCAAATAAAATGTACTTTAATACTCCATTGGCTCTGCAAGAGACAATAACCTGAAACTTATGTATCTCAATCTCATAAGAGAATGTGTGTAGCAATAATAAATATTTAGATATGAATAATTGATAATTAAGAATAGAATGTTTTGTGTATGAAAATCTTATAATTGTCACATATTTCCTTGTTGTTAGTGTTAAAATTTATAACACCAGATCTGAATTCCTTTTTTTTCCCATTCATATTTCATAAGAATTTGTTGTTCTTTGTTTGTAGAATTTTGGAATCACATCATATATACACCAATTGTGATAATGCAACACATTATGTTATATTTCCATTCATGTTTTTTTTTTAAAAATCAATATACCGGTATGTTCTCTAAAATCCTAACAAAACCTATTTTGCTAATTTTATCAAATGAATTCTTTTTATTAATTTTTATGATGGTAATATGTAGGTTGTAAAATTTAATATATAGTTTGATATTATATATATTAAATTTCTACTTAACTTGCTTTTGTTAAAGTAATAAATATTGAGATATGATATGAGTTTTATTATTTAGTACTTCCATGGATTAATAGATATCCTTCAAAGTGTTTTATGAGAGTCTAGTAGAACAATCAAAACTTCCCTCATATATGACCAGTCTCCATTAGCAGGATTAAAGTACCCTGGTTTTCCGTCTCGTTTGAACGACTAGACACTGTTGCTTCTAAAGCGGGACTTGTGTCTACCTTACAACTGAGAGCAACTGTCTTCAACTGAAAAAGTCAAAATGGTCGACCTGTGTGCTTCTTACAAATCAAAGCAACTAATTCCAGTCAGTTGAAGCCAGTTGCCCATGTTTAACTTTCTGCATGAGCGCTTTTATAACTTGGGTTAACTCATCACATGATAAGAGACATGGATCACATGACTTTATGAATAGGCAAAATGGAAGGAAACAACGGCATCCACTTTTCAAATGTCGATGATGTTGACAATAATTTAGTAATAGAATTCTGGAAAGACCGAGCATGCCTTTGGGCAGCTTCTTCTAAAGTATTCGACATTTTTGATCATGTGATAAATAAATTAACAGTTAAGTGTAATCACTATCTGTTCCGAGTCCAGATGAAATCAAATTCAGTTGCTGATTTAATAAGACATAAGGCCCTCCATCCTGCACCACTGATTAATGGAAACCACCCCGGATAATCCTGGGGAACTTTCTTGGCCAATTTAACACAGGACATTCAATCTCATCTATTTCATTCAAATGCCTTTTAAAGCTTTTACACCTGATTTTGGGGGGATTTCTCCATGTTTTTAGAGGTTAATAAATTATCTATTAAAATAAAATAGCCTGACAATAAAGCAGATATATGTAGTTTATTCATACAGACTAAGGCATACTTGTTTATTTTAAAGCCAAAAAATACCAGAATAATTGCTATTAACAAAATCATTTTAATTAATAGCTCTTAAGCATACATGACATTGAGCATATCTAAATGTAGGAAAGGCATTCAATAGCTCTTAAATACACATATTCATTTAAAAAGGAACAACTTTTATGAGTACAAATAGACAGTGTAATAGAACATAGTGTGCCAGGCATCAAAACCCACACCCTCAAACTGCCAAAACATCTGTACTGTACATACATGAGCTAAACAACTCAAATAAATTTTAACAAGCCAACAGTGAGGCTGATGTCCCCCGCCGAAATCCCAAAATAAACAGATGACACATATTAATTAATTGCACATTTATCTTTTTCAAATCAAACTGATCATCTATGCCTAGTCTAAACATAAAATGTTCATGATCAAACTCAGTCAGGTTTTGAAGTACCTGGTAGTGAAACTATACACTAAGTTTCAACACTCTCTACCAGAATCAAAGTTATCTTGTCCCAAAACATCGGCCAATGAAATTGCTTAGCTTTAGCGGGAAATATTAATCATTGAACTCAGTCAAAACATTCGCCTAATGAACATCTATATCTCAATTAAAAGTGGAGTTGTTATGTTCCCAAGTCTTGACCAATCTGAATCATACTGCTTATGCAACTTGGCCTAGCAGAAAATTCTCATCATCGAACTTAGTAAATGTATTGATATAATGAATCTATACTCACGAGTTTCATCGCTCTCACCCAATTAGAACCAAATTTATCGTGTTCCAAAGTCTTAACCAATCAAATTGCTTATCTCTGCTTAGCCTTTGTGGAAAATGTGCATGATCGTAGTCACACTGATCAGCAAGGAATATTCGCTAGTCCACTACAGTCACTGATAGGGATGACATCGATGCGACTTAATGAGCTCCAAATATTAACTGTTTGCCATGTGCTAATTAAATTCTAGAACATATTTTTAAGCATTAGGAAAATATATAAAGGTGTTTCAAGTATATGTAGGTAAAAAATATTTCCTATTTAGTGTAAATGGGTATGTAAAATGAGTAAAAGCCTCCATTCTGCCCGGACTAGTATCATCTTATGTTAACAATGCATGCACCATTAAGTCAATGATTGACACCGCATGATATGACGTCCCACGATAAAGCAGTAATCTTTAACAGAGCTATCAGTCTTCGCAATACCTCTGTGAAACAGATTGGATTGTACTCTGTCAAGACATTCACCTAATAGTCACCTACACCAATTTTGAACATTCTACCTCAATTAGAAGGAGAGTTATTGTGTTCCAAAGTTTCAACCAATCAGATTGAAGTCTCTATTTTGCCCAAGCAGAAAACGCTCAGCATCGAACTATGTTATGGTTTTGATGTAATGAAACTATACACAAAGTTTCACCACTATCACTCAATTAGAAACAAAGTTGTCGAGCTCCAAAGTATCAACCAATCAAAATGCTTATCGCTCTGCTTACCCTGAGCCGAAAATACTCTCAACAAACTTAATCAAGGTACTGATGTGATGAAACTATACACCAAGTTTCATCACTCTCACTTAATTAGAACCAAAGTTATCATGTCCCAAAGCATCAACCAATCAAATTGTTTATCTTTGCTTACCCTAAGCAGAAAATTCTCATCTCTGAACTACATCAAGTTTGAAGGAGAGTTATTGTGTTCCAAAGTCTCGACCAATCAAATTGTTTATTGCCCTGCTTACCCCAAGCAGAAAATGCTCATTATCGAACTTAGTCAAGATATTGATGTAATGAAACTATAGGCCAAGTTTCATCACTCTCACTTAATTAGAACTAATTTATCGTGTCACAAAGCATCAACCAATCAAATTGCTTATCTCTGCTTACCCTCAGCAGAAACTCCATCAAGGCATTCGCCTAATAAACACCTACACCAAGTTTGAATATTCTAGCTCAAATAGAAGAACAGTTTGATGGACAGACCGATCCATTTTAACAGTCCTCTGACTGTGGGTGGGGGGGGGGGGGGGGGGGACAAAAAGATTGCATGATAACTGAAGCCTCCAACTAACAATTGGAAATAACTTAGTTATTACAGAAAATTCACAGGGTTCTTCTTTCAATAGGATAGACAATAGAAAGGTAGGCTGATATCAGTATTCTGTAAAGTGTTAAAAGATTTCATAACAGAAGGGCATAATGTTGAAAGATATGGTCTTGTGGCAAACTAAAATCCCAGTTTCCAATCAATACTGTTTTAATGTACATATATATCACTTTCTGAACAGAAATAGTTATTGTGTGGTTCCAGGAAAATGCCTGAACTCTAATAAAGAAGATAAGTATAAACTATGAGTCTATGAATGAACATAATTCCTAGCTAGACAAATAGTATTAATCTGTTCTTTAAACAAGATACATTTACACCTAGTTAAACATACATTATACAAAAGTTAAATCTGCCAATTGCAGGTCTTTCTTTAGGCCTGAAATTTTAACATTAATTAACTTATAATCAACTCTCGATATCATTGCTATCTTGCAATATTTACTGGATTAGAACCCGATCTGCAGCTCAACGCTCATTGATGATTATATTAAAAAATGGATAATCGAGATTATGTTTTTTTATCGGATCTTTAGTAATGATGATCGAGGCTAGGCCCAAAATTCAATCGCTAAATTCTTGGTTCAGAGTGAATCTATTTGACTGAAATTTTCAGCAAATTCCCATTACATTATCTAGTTTTTAACTATTATAGTGAGAACTGCCAGCTCTTTATCTAATCTCCCATAATGTATCTTTAACTAGTACTAATCTATTCCCAGGTACATTTACACCTAGTCAACTAGTACTAATCTATTCCAATAGACATATACAGCTAGTCATAGTACTAATCTGTTCCAATAGACATTTACAGCTAGTCATGGATCACCTAGTACTAATCTGTTCCAATAGACATTTACAGCTAGTCAACTATTACTAATCTGTTCCCAAATCCATTTACTAAATCTTTCATTCTACTGGAAGACATTTTCATGTACATCGTTATTAAAGCTTCTGAAAAATATGTTGAGTACAGACCTAGTCAAATCTTTTACTTAATACAATAATTTGAATACTGATGCAAAGAAGAATATTATGGTATAATATACCTGATGAAGATAATTAAATCCCCTCGACCACTTTGATTGGTTACTCTAAAGTTCTATTTTTTTTTTTTTCAGTTATAGAAAGGTAAATTAAATCTCATTGTTTTGCTATACAGTAAACTTCGCGTAAGTCGGATCTAAGTGGACTGACAATTTTATCCGAGTTAAGCAAAGATCCGAGTTAGCCGAAGACCGAAATTCAATCTTATCTCGATAAGAAATAAACTGCAAGAGCCAGATAATAATTGATTCAAATGCACATTTCAAGCTTTTGTTCGTAGATTAAATTCCGTTTTGGTGCAAGTAGATAACTTCCATTTTGTTGTCATCTTTGAAAAATGTCTTAAATTTTCCCGGAAAGTATCTCGTACAGCAGACAGCGATTTTTGAATTTTCCGGGAAAATTCTATTATTGCATCACGTCAAATAGGATAGAGGAAAGTATTTTGGGGCTCTGTGCCGGGAAAATTCTATTATTGCATCACGTCAAATAGGCTGATTTGAGTCAAAATGATAGAAGAAAGTAATTTAGGGCTCTGTGCTTGGAATACCTAACCACGTTTTAGACCATCGGGACGAAACTGACAGTGAAATTCTAAACATACTGCCGATCCGACTTAGACGAAGGAAAATAGCCGTAATTAGATCCGAGTTGAGCAAAGATCAGACTTAGGAAATCCGACTTACACGCAGAAATTTAATAAGAAAAATGTGCAGGATCAAGGGGTCCAAACGATTTTATCCGAGTTGAGCCAAGATCCGACTTATACGAATCTGACTTATGTGAGGTTTACTGTATTAATTATATCTATACTTGTCTATAAAAAAAAATCCTTAACAGAACCTCATATCAATATTGATACTGTAAAACAAGAAAATAATGCGTACTCAAATTGATGCAAACTGCTGTATCCCATTCCCTTAATTGTGACTGGGTGGCTTCTTTATAATTTATTCTCTTTATGCAACACAATCAGCAAGAGAGCTTCGTTTACTATTATTATAAATCTTTGATTTGGTGTTTTCTTTCTTACTTATTAAGTCTACTTCACACTTTAATCTAAAATCTGATCAGGAAATGAGCTAAATCTGGTACAAACCATGGCACAGGTACTTTATTGTAGAACAAGCGGTTGCCATGCAAGATACGACCACATTTTGCAAGAGATGGACAGAGAACAAGCTCAAAAAAGGAAGTGATTTTTTCGTACAGTCAAGGGCCATAATTCAGGAAGTTATGATCCAATATGTGCGAATATTGAAAGGAACCAAGATCTTTGGGTTATAAATATGTGTTTCAAGTTTCATCAAAATCGGATCAAAATTGTGACCTCTATAGGGTCCACAACCTTGATATACCATATTTTTACGCTATTTGAGAACGAACGGCGGCCATTTTATCTGTCAATTTTGGGCAAATTTTCACAAAATTCGAACTCCGTCGTCCTTAGGGTGTAACGGTGACATAATAATAGGTTTTTTTAAATCTGATAAAAATTATGACCTATATAGGGTCCACAAGCTAAAAACGCGATTTTTCCTACAATCAGGGACCATAATTCAGGAAGTAACGGTTCGATGTGCGCGAATATCGAAAGGAACCAAGATCTTTGGGTTATAAACTTACATTTCAAGTTTCAACAAAATCGGATAAAAATTGTGACCTCTATAGGGTCCACAACCTTGATATACCATATTTTTACGCTATTTGAGAACGAAAGGCGGCCATTTTGTCTTTCAATTTTGGGCCGATTTTTACGAAATTCGAACTCAGTCGTCCTTAGGGTGTAACGGTGATATAATAATACGGGTTTTTAAATCGGATAAAAATTATGACTTCTACAGGGTACACAAGCTAAAAACGCGATTTTTGGTACAATCAGGGGCCATAATTCAGGAAGTTACAGTCCGATATGCGCGAATATCGAAAGGAACCGAGATCTTTGGGTTATAAACTTAAATTTCAAGTTTCAACAAAATCGGATAAAAATTGTGACCTCTATAGGGTCCACAACCTTGATATACCATATTTTTACGCTATTTGAGAACGAACGGCAGCCATTTTGTCTGTCAATTTTGGGCCGATTTTCACAAAATTCGAACTCAGTCGACCCTAGGGTGTAACGGTGATACAATAATACGTTTTTTTATATCGGATAAAAATTATGACCTCTATAGGGTCCACAAGCTAAAAACGTGATTTTTCGTACAATCAGGGGACATAATTCAGGAAGTTATGGGTCGATATGCGCGAATATCGAAAGGATCCAAGATCTTTGGGTTATAAACTTACATTTCAAGTTTCAACAAAATCGGATAAAAATTGTGACCTCTATAGGGTCCACAACCTTGATATACCATATTTTTACGCTATTTGAGAACGAACGGTGGCCATTTTGTCTGTCAATTTTGGGCCGATTTTCACGAAATTCGAACTCAGTCGTCCTTAGGGTGTAAAGGTGATATCATAATATGTTTTTTTAAATCGGATAAAAATTATGACTTCTATAGGGTCCACAAGCTAAAAACGCGATTTTTCGTACAAACTGGGGCCATAATTCAGGAAGTTACAGTCCGATATGCGCGAATATCGAAAGGAATTGAGATCTTTGGGTTATAAACTTACATTTCAAGTTTCAACAAAATCCGATAAAAATTGTGACCTCTATAGGGTCCACAAGCTAAAAACTTGATTTTTCGTACAAACAGGGGCCATAATCCATGAAGTTTCGATCCGATACATGCCAATATCGAAAGCAGCCGAGATTTTTTTGGGATAAAGCTATATTTCAAGTTTCGTCAAAATCGGACAAGAATTGTGACCTGTAGAGAGTCCACAAACAAATTGTGGACGGACGTCCGGACGGACAGGGGCGACGACAATATACATCCACATGAAAATGTGGGCGTATAAAAAGCATAATGAAATTAAACATACATTATGCAAGAGTTAAATCTGCCTATTGTAGGTCTTTATTTATTAACTAGACATTAATTAACTAATCCAGGCCATAATCAACCCTCGACGGCATCAGATTTCTCCGATATTAAATAGATTAGAACGGTTCAGCCACATTTTGATTTAATCTAAAAATGGAGGGAGACTTAGCTTTGAACTACCAGTATTGCACACATCTTGCCAAACCTTCAAAGGCTAATATCTTCGCTCGCAATAAAGTAATTTGAATGAAATTTTCAAATTATTCATTTTACATTATTTATTTTCGAACTATTATAGCAAGAGTGGCTATATCTTACATAATGTATCTTTAATGAAATTGATGGATGTTGTATTCTACACATTAATTTCTTGTTTAATAGTATATATTCATTGAGCTGTTAATATATATACACAAAAATACATAACAATAACGACCTGGTTATAGAAATACAAAATCATGTAAAGACACTAATAAAACAACATGGCATATAAAAAGTAAAATGTACAATAAAATTAAGACTTATATATAGTATCACAAGTTTTGAGTAATGACAATTTTACTGGGTGCGTTAGTGAAAGATTGACCTGATAGTGAACAACAAAATCACAAATATAAATGAGGTTTCGTTTAAAGCAGAATTTTCATTGGACGACTTAGAAAAGACTGAACATACATCATATATACAGACTAGCCTTTTACATCAAGGCCGTAATACTAGCATGTCAATGAAAGATTCTTTAGAAACAAATAGTTACATGATTTATATCAAATGCTGGATTTCAATTTATGTTGAACAGATATAGCATTTTACTAACTATATGTTTTACATCAGAGTGATAACTGCAAAAAATTTTAATGTTTAAACTAGTTGAGATGAAAAAAAGAAAGAAGACGTCAAAAGGATGTATTTTAAAAGGTGCAAAAGAACATGGACGCTTTGCTTGCTTTTATTGTTTGCCTAATTATTGAAGATTTACAGAGGAAACACCCAGGAGGTTTTTGATCCATGAAACATATCATTCAACTTGTAACACATCTGCAAAAGGACATGGTCCCATTTCACCTGATAGTCCTCCAACAACATAAAACTTGCCGTCTGTCACAGTATAACCACATGAACTATGACCTTGATCACAATCTGGCAGTTGTAACCACTTATTTTTTTTAACATCATAGGCTTCAACTCTTTTCGTTGGTTTACCATCATTGGCTGAAAATGATTTCATCAAAAATAATGATTTAACTTCCCAGTAATCACTGACAACTTTTCACCGTTTCAGGATGCTGAGATGTGATGCAATTTATCCAGCAGATGACATGCGGCCAAATAGTGGCCTAACACAGCAACCATTAGATTCATTTGCTATTACATATGGAAACTGTTAAGTCAATAGACTTTTGTTAATTCAATTTTGAGTCCTGCTGACCACCACTCAACACAAGGTCATTTAACTACAAACTTTCAATAATTCTCTATTTCAATAATTAATCCAATAGTAATAGAAAGGAAGTGCCCCTACCCATTTTTTTAAAAATAAGTTCATTCAACAGCTTACTTTTCTGCACCAACCGGGATAATGAAGATGGGCATACATGTATATACAGTGTACTATGAGGAAATTTTACAGTGTATTCAGATTTAGATTTACTACAGGTACGGGATCCTTAAATTGCTGCCAATGCGACCCTATCTAGTTTAACAATACATATTATAACTAACATAACAGTTAGTGTATACATGTATCTGGTACTACTACAATTAGATACTTACTTAAACCGCCAGCACATACCACTTTACCACCACAGACACCAATAGCAAAATCTCCTCTTTTTACCATCATATTATTACCAACAGTCCATGATTCTAAAATATAAATCAACCAATACATTTCTTTCCAGCATCTAAAATGATTTGGATTACAATTTATAAAATGTACAATCATATACATGTAGGCTGTACCGAATACAGATTGTATAGGTATTATAAGTCTCCCGAAAGACAGTTATGTATGAATCTTAGAATTTTTACCCACAGGCTGTCCCTGGTATACTGTGCCATGTTTCTTTTTGCTGTAGTATATTTACTATAAACTAAACATAATATATTCATTGATCTTTTCTTAAAAAATATTTAAGAGTACATAGAATTTGATGCAGTATTTTCATTTAAACTCTAGAGGCCTTCAAGCTGCTGGCTGTCCCTAACACCCACGCCATAACCCTTTCTTGCATGTACCATTTGTACACTTGCTTGTTGATATCTAATTAACAGCAGCAAAAATTTGACTGAAGTGCTAGCATGACACATGATATGAACTAGAGAGCCAGATGTTCTTGATATCATTTGTATGCAAATTCGCATCTCCTTTGTATGCTAAGTTGGACTACCCAAAAATTTTTTTTTATTTTCCTGTACTTTTAAATGTCTTCCATTAATACAAATACTTACTTTTTTCAATATTGTAAACTTCACAAGTATTAGTGAAGCCTTTACTAGCCGGCTGACCCAATCCTCCCATACTAAATATATGAGTATCAGTAGCAGCATACATGGCAAACACTCTTTTAGATGGAATATTTTCTAACGACTCCCATTTATCGAGACTAAAATCAAACACATCCAACGCTAAACATGGTAACTTTCCTTGGCGACCACCTATAACATAAAACATTCTTAAATACAGCAATACGGTAACGAAAGGAAATTATATTATGAAAAATTATCTGTATGGAAAAAATAATTTTGGGGCTTTTAACTGACTTTGGGGTGGAAAATGTTCACATAAACAATCATATCCAAACAATATCGACAAGAAATCCACTTGAATAACTAGAACCCTGGAGAAAAAATACTAGAGTCAACAGGCAACCCTACTCTTTCTCACATATATGCCTGGGATCAAGACCTCACCCTTCACTCAATAAAATATCTATAGCATTTTCTTCAGACAACAGGGGGGTTGGATGTTAGCACATGTGCGCTGTATCATAAGGTCTGTCATTATTGAAATTATTGAAATAAAATCAAACCATGTGTTAGTCCTGAAATGACCTAGTTTGTGTTGAGTGGATGTTAAACCCCATTTCTCTCTCTCTCTCTTCAGACCACAGGACAGCCACCCCTAGTTAAATTTACAGATACGTACCTAATATATATATTTTATCATTAATAAGAAATGCTGAGGAAGCATATCTTGGATTTGGCATGGGCGGCATTTGTTTCCATTGATTTTTTTCAATATCATATTCTATAAACAGTTCTTTTGGATTAGTATTTTTAGCCATTCCTCCTATTAATAAAATTTTATTATCTGAAAAAAAAGGCATTACTGTGATTATAATTGTATGTAAATCTAACCAAAAAATAAAGTTAATATTAACCATTCATACACTTAAAGACTATCTATGTCTAAAAGTGAAATGAAAAAAAAAAGCAACCTAAGTTAAAAGCTTTGATCATAAGAAAACAGACTTTGGGATATTTCTCACTTCCGAATAACACATTAAAAATTTGCTTTCCACTGGGAAACATTCAAATTAAGTCATCGACACAGATGTCACCCCAACCTCATGGGTTTTCCTCCCACTGCTAAAGACCCTACGCGTAAGCGAATTATTGAAATAAAATTGAACCATATGTCAATCCCGAAACAACCTAGTTTGTGTCCAATGGACGTTAAACCCCATTTCTCTCTCTCTCCACAATGAAATAATCCATGTAACTTAATACCAGTATCATTGTGTTTTTTTCCATTATACATTATATTAACACCCACCTCTAACTAAAACAGATACACCCATTAAAGGCTCAGGTAAGGTTTCTACTTTGCTCCATTTTTTCTCCTCAAGGTCAAATATCTCTACAGCATCTAAAGGAGTTTGAGTCTCTGAAACACCACCAATTGCTACAAGTTTATTCCCAACAATAGCACCAGCCACACCTGCTCGTTTTGTTGGCATCGGGTCTAAGTCTGTCCATTTTTTTGTTTCAGCATCGAATACCTCAAAACTGTTTATTGGCGTTCCTTTTTCATCACAGCCTCCGATAGCATAAACATTTTTACCATGTGGAATTAATGTTGTAAAGACACGAATAGCATGCATTGACTCCAACTTCTCCCATTTATATTTTGGATTTGCCATAATGGCATGAGAGCAGACTTTATAAATAAGTAAATCTGAAAGAAAAGAATAAAAAAAAACATTGAAAAGATGTAATGTTTACTATCAACAGATGAATAATATGTCAGCTTTATGGAAAGCTAGGATACTAAATACAACCATCTAGTCATGATCTACCCATATAATCCACTCAAATGTAGTCTACTTGTACCACAGACAACCAGTGAATGAGGGATAGGGTTTGTAGGTTTGGCAATTAAGAATAGCAATGTGAAAATGCTCTGTTTGATTTTTAATTTTGCATTCAGACTTCCTGATATTTTTTTGGGTTTTTTTGTTTTTCAGAGCGAACAAGAGAAGTAGGCCTACATGTACTGATGGTGTAGAGAGATTTTAAGTTTAAAGTAGCTAAGTCTCTAACTCAATATCATCAAAAATCTTCGACATTGAAAACACAAATTATTTGTCAATTCAAATCAACATTGGTCTTGTGATCTTACAGGGAAAAGATGGGCTTCTGATATCCAATATTCAAGACAAAATAAACATTTTACCATTGGAAGGCCTACACGAATCGTGTACCATAATGCATTTCAGTGCCATTTGGAACAGGGGACTCAAAGAATTAACAGGGCTAGACATATTCCACAAGTCATGTCAAATGGTGACGCTATATTCTTATCTGGAGAGCATGCGCAATAAATACCACCGGTGTAGACTGGAAAAACCAGACGCTAAAGATGCCATTCACATGAGACTTCTGGCGGATTTCGCCGAACAAACTGATTAGAAATTACAGTAAAAGCAGAAACGATTGAATGTAAATCAGTTTATATACATTCATATTCCATTATTATATGCGTTGCGACCCATTTTTGTCAATTTCTAAGTCCCAAATATTAGCAATTTAGCTCCTTTAACATCCACAAGTGGTACTGGTAGGACTAGGAAACATAATTAATTCGTAGCAGTGCAGACAAATCTAGCCATGACTTCGGTAAAACGTAAAAGCCCTTGTTCGTGTAGTCACTAATCAAAATTGCCATTTAAAAATATGCCAATAAAAGATCCACATATTATAAAGTCAGGATAGAGATCATAATGAAATCGTGTCATGTCACTGTGAAAGTCTGAAGGGAACGATTACACAATAATAGTATTTACTATCAGTAATACTAAAACTATATCTATACACATGACGTACTGCTGCCGAGTTGTTTTGCAATAGGCCTTTCACTCGATAGCTGAATTATCTTCCAGTGGAAGCTGGGACAAATAGAACCATGACATATATCAAGACCTATTTATCTATGTTTAATTACATAAAACTTACTGCAAATATTACAACCAAACAGTCAACACCCAAGAGCCGCTGCTCCAAGCAATAATTATATTTGATCACCCAGACATACCGATAATTTCAAGGGAGATGACTATCACGGAATGGCGTGATAACGTTGGAGTAAGACAACTATCTTCAAATTAATTCTGTTTTAAATTCTATGCCAGATTACTGGCCGAGTTACGAAAATTTGTGCCTTACCCTATACATATTTAGATTTCAATGGCTTCTGCCGAGCCGTTTGACAGAAGGATACGTATTTTTAACAGCATGTTGTGTTGCACATACTGACTCTAGCGAGGTAAGCAAGGTCTTATTTTCTCACTAAAATCTTCCTTTACATTGTTCAGGCGTTCACAGAGACGGACACACGGCCGTTTTTAGCAGTAAAAAGTTGCCCAGTAAAATTGACTGTTTGCCGATTCTTTTCCGACAAGGATTCAATAGGACGGTTCGTGTTCTCTTATCTAGTGACAGTCAATTTTTTTATGAATTGTCAGATATCCTTTCACAGTGTCACACAACAACTTTTGGTCTTCAAAGGAATTATTAGTGAGCAGAAATTCGCCCATGTATCTGTTATCACCCGTCACTTCAGTCAGTCATATAGAGGAATAACTCGTGTTTTCCTTTTGGGTTCGTCACTTCCGAATGTTGAAACATCGATTACGCATCTATCGTAGCAATGATCTCTGGGATAAAATAATATTTGGAACGTGTTTAACCAGTTCTATCACATATGATAATTACTGGCACCAATATTATCCTTTAAAACGCCCACATGATCATTTTTGGGCGGGACTTATAGACTGGCCTACTGATTTGTACACCCGAAGCACGTGGTTTATGTAAACAAATGTCAAGTTAGCAAAATGTCACTTCCACTCCGGTAAAAGCGATCTATAATATGTGCTAGTGGGTAATATTGCAATACAGTCTTTACCATTGTAAACTGTCTTTACAGTTTCAATCTGTTTATCTTTCAAAACATGGTTAGATACTCCTAAATTTGTCTTCGCAAATTGAATATATTGAATAATTAGTGGTTTTTTTCGTGATTCCGTTCTGATCAGTTTGACATCTTTCATACACACAACGGCTAAATAATCATATTTAATTTCATTCAATATGAAAATAGAAGAGAAATAAATACTTCTAAAAATTTCTAAAAGCATATTCAGTGTTTTCGACTAAAATCGTCGATGCAGGAATTAAAATGTCGGTTAATTAGCTTAGGGCCTGTTCTCAGGCGGAGCTAGCTGTAGACAGGCAGCCTAAGTTTGGGATGGGACTTCCTTTGAGCAAATTTTGTAGTCATTTGACTACAAAAACTTTAATGGCCTATAACTCCATTACTTTTCCAATTACACTGACCCCAAACTGTACTGCACATAGCTTAGATTTAATAAACAAATTCCCATGGAAATAAAGGTGAAATTTTACCACATAAATTTATAAATTCAATAAAAATTCAACGGTTAACCGATATTTCTGTCGTTTTTAAAATGGCCGCCGAACCAGAACACACACGTGATTTCACGTCACCTCGAAAATATAGAAAAACTGTTCGGTAAGATAAGATTAAGACTTCGGTGTTTTACTCTTCACTATTTGTTACACAATTACTTATTCCCATGTAAAATGTGATGACATGTGTTGAAATTTTTACAATGGAAGCTATTTTTGCTTGCGCAAAGCCTCAAAGTACAAGCTCTACAGGGGGGTTGGATGGCTGAATGGTTAGCGTGCGCGCGCTGTACCATAAAGTCTGTCATTGAGTCGACTGGCGTGGTTTCGAACCCCCGGTTGTACGTGGCAAGGAGTAGGGTCGCCTGTCCAACCTCGCGGGTTTTCTCCGGGTCCTCCGGTTTCATCCCACTGCTAAAGACCCCTACGCGCAAGCGAATTATGTAAATAAAATTAAACCATATGTTAGTCCGGAAATGACCTAGTTTATGTCGAGTGGACGTTAAACCCCATTTCTCTCTCTCTCTCTCACACAAGCTCTACAAATATTTCGAAATGATTACTTAAAGGTTATAGTTGCAGAATGCCAATCGTTTCGACAAATATCACACACATAGTTTACTTTCGTATTTCACTTGAGGGAAATGGGCACCGGTAATTAAAATGTGTCACGCTTGAAATTTAATTCATCAGAAAAATAAACAAAGCTGCAAACCATAAGAAATACCACATCAGTGTGTTGGGAATATCGGAAAGAGTAGGAATGAAGGTAAGAAATGGTATAGTAGTTTTATTCAATTCGTGCTGGCGTGATCACATCACTTTCGGTTGAAAGGTATGGGTAAAGTTGCTACTGGGACACGGTGACTTAGTGAGTAAGGCACGGTCTCACTAACCAGGAATTCCGAGCTTCTATTACGGTATAGGCCGAGAAAGTACTCGGAATTCACCAGCTTGATGTTCTCTTATCTAGTGGCAGTCAATTCCTTTTATGAATTGTCAGATATCCTCTCACAGTCTCACACAATAACTTTTGGTCTTGGAAGGAATTATTAGCAGAAATTCGGCCGAGTATTTTTTATCACTCGTCACATCAGTCAGTTATATAGAGGTATGACTCGTGTTTTCCTTTGGCGTTCGTCACTTCCGATTCAGGAAACTTGTATTACTCAGCTTTCGTAGCAATGATCTCTGTGTTAAAATTATATTTGGAACGTGTTTAATTAGTTCTATCACATATGTGATAATGACTGACACCAATATTGTCCTTTAACGTATGAAACAACTTTCGTTTATCTGCAAATATTGTCAGTAAAGTTAATATCAAGCGGTGTTTTTAACCGAATTGATACGGCCATCCACATAGGATTCTTCCAGAAGGAACTATATTGTACCATCTCGTATATCACGACACACGCAGGGTCGAGAGATGAGGGTTTTTTTTACTACTGGATACCATGCTGGAAAATCCCGAGGAAGTTCCTAGGACAGCACCGGGATCGAAACCAGGACCTCGTGGTTATAGTGAGCCAGCTCCTTACTTACTGAGCCACCATGGCCCCCTTGTATCTACAGACTATATGTGGAATAGCAAACGGACCCGTTAAGACAAATGGAACGCGTGCCAGAGGAGCTGCAATAATTATTCATCCCATTCAAAGCGGTGTGCGCATACATCCACACACACACACACACACTCATTCATCCATAACTGCATACTAACATAACCACATACATAATTACACACACTTCTCGCACAACAGAGAAATACTATCTTTACTGATATCTTCCATAATATGTTTCGTCTTCATTAGCCCGGTTGGTGCAGAACAGTTTTTTTAAATTCCGTTTCATTTTACTTCTTACTCTACGTGGGATTGTTATATTGTCATAACCTTAAGTATATATACTTCCATTGACAATATTATGAAGGATAAATTGATGTGACTTTAAATGCTGCACTAGATGATACAAAAGCATTCTTTCAACAATAGTGAGCCATGGTGGCTCAGCGAGGAAAAGCTTGACTCGCTAACCCGGAGGGCCCGTGTTCGATCCCTGCGTTGGCCGAGAAAGCTCATCTGGATTTTCCGGCGTGGTTGCCCAATATTAGGGACAGTGGCGCTTTATTGCACATGCTTTGATAATATCGCCATTACTTCAAGCTATATAATAATATATAACGTTCAGTTTCATTCGCAAAATTATAGTTTACAATACGTTACAAAACAAAGTCAAACTGTCTGAGTGTTGAAATTCATAAATTGGTCTGTAATTTGCATAGCCACATCAATACTAGTAACTATGGCTCGGGCTAATAAATAGTCACTTTTTACATATTTTATGCTTGTGTGTATTTAAAACATATATTTTTATAGTAAATTCGTTATATGGATGCTTCAAATTTGCTTTAAAATGCTTACACTTTATAATGCTTAAATAACTCCACAAATCTGATCGTATATTTAAAAGCAGACATATATTAATCACCCAACAAAATGCTTGCTTGTAGACTGAAAAACATAGACGGAATAGACATCAGCAGCAAATTGGCCTGTACTTGTTCTAATCTAAGAGCAAGTTCCAAGCTTTAAAACAAACTGAACGGGTAGATTACACCCATCGTAAATTTCGAACGCCCTGCCTTATACCCCAAAGGTGAACCTCACTGAGCTTTGAAACATTATTTTCAGAACTCTGTCTTTTATCACGTTCACAAGATTTCATAAACACGGAGGATAAAGACATTTTGTGACAATTATATTGGTATATAACAAATAATATATTAAATCGAAAATGTGTACGTGAAGTTAATTGAGCAAAATGGTTCGGAATTTGCGATTCGAAAATTATACAGATATATTCCTTACATCCCAATGAACAATTACATTCCTATTGTATCTGTATCGTGTTCACATGCTTTAATAAGGGTGGTTGGCTGGCCGAATGGTTAGTACGTGCGCGCTGTATCATTGAGTCAACTGGCTTGGTTTCCATTCCCCGGTTGTACGTGACAAGGGATAAGGTCGCTTGTCCAACCTCGTGAGTTTTCTCCGGGTCCCCCCACTGCTAAAGATACCTACGCGCAAGCGAATTGTTAAAATAAAATTGAACCATGTGTTAGTCCTGAAATGACCTAGTTTGTGTCGAGTGGACGTTAAACCCCAATTTCTCTCAATCTCTTTTTGCTTTAATAAATTTGAAGGTAAGCCGGTAAATATTATGTTTGAGTATAGTGACCACCGAGATTTTGAATATCGACAACTTTCTTCTTTATGACCTGCAAATTCGAAAACAAGCTGCCAAGAACTCTGATATGTAGAGTGTTCACCAGAAGTTGTGGACCTATGACAGATGAAGGAGGCGACAAAATACATAAATTTACATAAGCGTTATATTTGATAGTACATTAACAGATACGAATTCTTCCATTCTTTATATCAAATGTTAATATTTTAACAAGAAGAGAAAATTTGAGCAATGTTGTTTCTGAACACCCAATTTTTGACCGAGATTTCCTTGGGAACGGTTATTGTGCGGTGCCGACGAATATGAACGGCAACCTTGTTTGTATTATTGTTCGTTATTGCACCTTTTTGAGTGTATTCTCACACACATAATCACCGGAAGCAAATTATACACAAGACACCGTGAAGAATCATAATATTCAACCGTGTATGGAAACCATGGACTGAAGATTGTAACTGTGAACCATCTTGACTGTATCAACTATCAAGGAACCCTTGCTGGAACTTGGAGAACTCTTGATGTATGAGATATTACAGGCCCGTACATCATGATCACTTGTTGATACATTAACAGAATTATCGTCAATGTGTTAATTATCGTTGATATTCATGATCATGTGTTGATACATTAGCAGAATTGTCGTCAGTGTGTTAATTCACGATCATGTGTTGATAAATTAACAGAATTATCGTCAATTGGAACTTTTATAACAGATTGTGGATTTTCTATGATTATTTCTATATGTTTAGCAGCCCATGGTTGAATGTCTGATCGTGCTAACATAACATATAATACAGCACTTAATAACGCCATGCCTCCACCTAAATAAAACACATCTCTCCATTCTTCTTGCGATTTCTGAAAGTAGAAAATTAAGATTCATACAACAAATATCATTAATATAGTTCACCTTACATAGATGAAGAAATGGCTGTGGTGTGGAGATATTTAAAATATCTTTGTAAAATCCATTAAATGGAATGGGATTTAGTGTACTGCGTATCTGCACCAACCGGTCTAATAAAAATAAAATGAGATGACTGAGCTAATGAAGACAGTCAGTCTAATAAAGACGGACATACGCCATGAGTGTGCTGCTGGGGTTGAAATCTTGCAGCGTTTCAGCCCACTCTTCATTGTGTACTTTTAGGTGTACGCTAACGATTATATGGATGGACCTCGTCATATACGAAAGGCTAGACGTCTTTTCCATGTCATACCCTCCGTCCTCTTTCCACCACTGGACCGGGTAATCCAGATGACCCTTTTTGGCCAACACAGGGATCGAACCCGGATTAAAAGTAACTACCATCCTCAACAAAAATTTAAATAGCTAACATAAAACCAGGATCTAAATGATATTTGTAGCTGTGGAACCGCATTACATGTATATGTATTTGTACTTACATGTGGTGTCAATACACCAACTACTATAGGTGCTACCATACCAGGAACTGTGCCAATAAAATTACATATACCACAGATTACTCCAGCATATCTAAAATAAATACATAATTCAACAAAACAAATCTATTATGAAGTTCACATCTTTTCTAAGCATACAATAAATAACAAATTAATGTCCAGGGGCTAATGTAAAGGTCAGTCTTCAGACATTAAAGATGTTTTTAGGAACTAAATATTTTAAATCATAATATAAAGTTTATATACCTTGGTGCAAAATCCAATAAATTAGAACTATAGCCTGCCATAGAGAAACCATTAAATGCTGTACTAATGGATAAAAATACCACAGCTAACGTTCTTTGTTCTTTAGATATATAACCAGTTCCCATTAAAAATCCAGCAGCTCCGATGTAACCTTTAAAAAGAATACTTGCGACTTATACTAAACGGCTTCCACACTCATTTAGTTTTAAATGTTCGAGGAAGGAACATATGTATTAAGTAGTACAAATTAGCAAAATTCAAAACATAAAATATTCAAGCATATACATGTATTCCCGAATTTAAACTTCCATTCAATGTTCATTCTGTGGCGCGGCGTGGCCAAGTGGGGAATGGCTCGCTATCTATAGACACACCATAAGCGATGCCGAAAGCAGATTCTCGTTTGGGATCTTTTCTTTCTTCTGAAGAAAAATAACCATGCATCAATCAAATGTATTTAGCACTTGCAGCACTTACTTAAAAACGTTGGAAGAATAATCTCCGACACGTCGCCTAAATAAATCAGTAATTGTTCTTTCATACGTATGTCTTATGGTTTATTAGCACTGATTACCACTTAATCAGCAGATTGAAATGGTCCCTATATCACAATCTGGTTTGGACATATTAATAGATTAGGCACAGGAATGGCCAAACTGTTTGAGGGATGAGATAACCTGCTTTCCAGTCTGTTGACCCAATTTACGGAATGGAATGAAATGAAATGGGGTCTAACGTCCTACTTTTCTGCACCGACTGGGCTAGTGAAGATCGGCATACGCCATGCAATGCTATTAGGGAAATTTTGTCCAGACGGTCTACTCTTACATCAAATTTCAACTGTCAAGGGCTGTTTTACGTTTTCTTACCATACGGAGGACTAGGCATCTGTCCTTTTCAGGCCACCTGCCCTGCAACACTAAAACAAGGGGAAAGTACGCCGGGAAAACCCGAGGAACTTTCTCGGCCAACACTTGGAGCGAACCCGAGTCCTCCGAGGCTCCAGTTTGGAATAAAGACATATCGTCTGTTCTAAATACCTGTCACTTGAAATAATCTTCTTGTATAAGTTGTACTCAAAATTTTCTTCTGTCTAAGTTTATCAGCTATATAGCAGGCGACGAGGGAAGACGTTGTCTCGAGTAACACTGGTATACACGATAAAATGCCGTTCTAAAATATAAAAAAATAAATAAAATAAAATAAGAAACCCAATCATAATACTGACCTCAATAATATTGATTTGGCTTTAGGAAATGATAATAAAATATTTTTAAAGAAAAAATAATGTAGTGCTTTGGCACGTTTTGGTAAAGCATAGGGCTATGAATTGGAATAAGTGTCATTTTAAGATTTGCAAAGATTTTTAAAAAAAACCAACAAAAAAACAAGTTTCGAATAAGCTTCAAACGAACTTTGTGTTTGTTCAATAGGCCGACTGCGCTATGAGATGTTGCTCCAATCAAATATATCCGTTAAAAATGTCTTAGAGGGGCATCAGCACTGTGTAGATCTTTGTTGACAGAGTAATTATATATGAGTAATGTATTATATTGTTACATCGAGGTTGTTCATGTTAGATTGTACGCAAAACTTTGTACAAATCGGCCAATCTATGCTGAGATATAGACGTTTAAACATTTAGCTTAGCAGTCGTAAGTCGTAAAAATATTTAATGACGCCCCCCCCCCCCCCACAAACACACACACCAACACACCCAACCTCGATAATTAGGTTGGTATATGCTTATTTTCGAGATGCTATCAATAAATCCAAATTAGCTTACCTCTTGTATATCGTATTTTAAAACATCATGCATAAATGTTGGCAGACACGTTAATAATGAATAATCTAACCAATCAGTACAGAAATTACACAAAGCACAAGCCCAAGTGGCGGAACAAGTAAGTATAGATAACCAGGGTATTGTAGTATCCGTCTAAATAACAAGAAACAGAAGCTACATACATGTAATAAGCAACAAATTTATGTTATATTGGTCGCCAAAATCCTTACCCACCTCACACACAGGTCCGTTGCCGTTGGCATTATTTTTAATTTTTTTTATCCCATTTCTGGGAATTTAAAATAAAATAAAACTTGTAATTAATTGATAGTGCTTAAAATGTCTAACATAATAATAGTTTTATATTTATTCTAAAATATGTCATGGTCTTTCTACTTTCCACAACGACATAATATCGGATGCTCCTGCCTACCACAAATCTCCCCTGTCCCTAGTTTGCCTCTCTAATTCGAGAACCCTGTCACCGCTTATTTAATTCATTCCGCAAAATTAACACAGTAGAATGAGAAAAAATATTTTTGCTGACACCTGAGATTGACTTACTTGGGGTGTTCTATTACTAAGACTTTTTAATATATACTCCCGTTCCACAGCTGATATTCTTTTACTCAGTTCTGGACCATCAGCAACTGCTAATATCCACAGAATAGACCATAGTAGTGCAAACCCACCTATAATCAAATACAATCATGTTTATACTGAATAAAATATTAGAAGGATTTTATTCTTGCCCTTACAGGATGCATTATGTACAATCTGTAGCTACCGAATAAAATAATAGAAGGATTTTTTATTGCCCTTACAAGATGTAATCTATACAATCTGTACAACCTGTTGCTGCCAATATGAAAATGACGGCACTTGGCACTTTTCGGTGATTTATGTTGACCACGTGCATTTGCTGATAAAAACAAAAAACAGGAGTGTGCTTAGTGGACACCAGCTAAAAACGTGAGATTGTCGAGAGATGAGGTTTCTTATCTTTTATACCGTTCAGATGCTTATTGTCAAACTACTTCAACATCGCCGTTTTTTTTAAGACAGGGTTGTATTGCGTTCACATGTACTATTAGATAAGAATCATCATCTCTCAACCCTCAGTGTTTCGAGATAAGAGGTGGTGCTATATAGTTTCAAGTGGCAAACCCCCAACGCTAATCACATCGGGGTTAAAATAAGCAACACTGACATTTTTTTCTTCAAAACAGCGATTGATTATTGTTATTTATAACATTTCTGCCACACCCAACTACAATTAAGCAGAAAATCCTACCTGACAAATCCCCTCTTTTTAAATCGAAACGATAATTAAAGATTGCTTTCTCCGACATTTTAAATTTACGTCTTTAACACATAAAGGCGGGGCCTCGTGTACGATAGCCAATCAAAGTATTAACCTGATCCGAGTTGCGCAGGAGTAATATACCGTAATTATGAATGTCCGTATAAATTTTGATAAAACAACTCTTGATATTGTCAATATGTGTTGATAAATGAAAGTTGTTTCAGTAGGTTGGGCTGCGTATGTGTAACAAGTTCTAATAGTAGGCCTATAAAATTAACTTATTTTTAAGATGTTACATGCATTAATAAAGAAATTAAGTTCTCAACGTTTTTAGCTACGTTCCCGTAGCTAATGTACTATAAGCCAAACCATTTTAACTATTCTGCGGAGGTTAGAGATAACTGCGCATGGATAGCTTCATATTCTTTATTCGGGTCTGGCACGCTTTCGATAACACTGGCACTACATTATAGACCGGGAGCCCAGAGGGTCAACCTAGCTGAAAAGTGTACCAATTTTCTCCTAGGCTAATCTATCCTAGTTGGAGGTCGTGGCATTTTGGGCGTGTCTATTAGGGGTAACCCACCGCACAAACTGTCTGGCAGTGGTCATTCATGATTCCTCTCGTGGTACTGAACAACTCCAAAGCTGTTTTAGGTGGTACAGATTTGAGCTAATCTAGCCTAGCTTTGGTCTGGAAATTAGATAACTCTTGTCAGGGATACTCCATCACTACAAATGTCTGGCAATTACATAGCTCTGTCAGGGGTACCCCACCACTAGAAATGTCCGCCAGAGTGTATTTGTAATACCTGAAGATGTAGGGTACATTGCTGTGCGATTTTCATGTGGTACACTTTTGAGCTAATCTATACTAGTTGGGGGGCATGGCATTTTGGGCGTGGAATACCACACCCACCACCAGAAACCCGGCAGACTTACATTCTGATGATACCAGATATACATACATTGATACCATATAGGAGAAAATTGGTACACTTTTCAGCTAGGTTAACCCCCTGGGCCCCCGCTCTAATTAAGCCGCCATTTTCACAGGAATGTAACTTACCGCGCACTGGGCAGGTCGAAATACCAGTTCAAACCGTAGATATACTAATAATATTTTTAGTATGAACCAAGATGAACCAGTTTAAAATAACAAGTCTTCTCGAAGACGGGTCGCGAACTGGGGTTTTTAAACTAGTTTATTTGCCCACATTTGCATTTAGACGACAAAGTTAAACCAGATCAACTTAAGCGTCTAAACGGGCTATAAGTGGATCTATGGATGTCATCATACCTGTTATGTAAAATACGGACGGCCAACCATTTAAAAAACTAGAATCACAGAGAACACCTGTCATAGCAAAAGTAACAATTGTTCCTATACCACAACCTGAAATGACAGTAATATAAAAAAAATAAATAATAGGCTACAATTCATATTCTTTTTATTTTACATGAAACGATATTAAATGTTGAAATTAGTTTAAAGGAGCTAAATCGCTAATATTTGGGACCTAGAAAGTGACACAAATGAGTCGCAACGCATATAAATAATGTAATATAAATGTATATGAACTGATTTACATTCAATCGTCTCCGTTTTTACTAAATCAGTTATGTTCTGTGAAATACGCCAGAAATCTCAATCGAATGACAATATCTAGCGACTGGTTATTTCCATTTTATCACCCAATAATACATTCTACAGTAGATATCGCTTGTGTGATATATTTCATAATCTACTGCGATATCTCCTGAGGAGATATCGCTTTACATGAATTTGATTGGTCAGTTGAAAAGGAACTACTTTTTTTTATTTTCAAAGAACAGTTCATTTCTTATTAAAAATAACTTTTTTTTAAAATTAAAAATGAACTATTGTTATTCAATTGACCTTGATGGAAACACTGGGTCAATATAAAGGACTTTGCAATGGTTGAATTGCTGTCAAAAAAAGATGTATCACTACGCCGTAATATCAAAAACGACTGGTAGGAGATTCTCTATCTACACTGATAGCATTTATTACGCATGCTCCAGATAACAAATCTATTTGTTAAGGCCAGCTCAATTTCTGTCAAGGTCGCTGAGATGTAAGTAAGGTTAGGACACGTGATTGTTGGCAGAGATTATAGGTTGGGGTTAGGGTAGGCATTGGGGCTATGTCCAGGGTTAGGGTTGGGATTAGCGCTAGCCCTGTTTACATCTCGTGACCTATTACGAAAAATTAAACTGGCCTTATCATTTAGCACTAACCCATGTCGAGCCCCTCGTTACAATGGGCGCTGAAATGCATTATGGTACACGATTCGTGCACCAATGGTAAAATGTTTATTTTGTCTTAAATACTGGATATCAGAGGCCCATCTTTTCTTGATAAGATCACAACATCAGTGTTGATTTAAACTGACAAATAATTCGGGTTTTCAATGTCGAAGACTTTAGATGATATTGAGTAACAGACTTAGCTACTTTAAACAATATTCATCCATACTGTCAAATATTGAAACAAGCCACAGTGAGCTATGTGATTTACTATCCATGCAAACGATCATCAAATAAAGTACACAGTTGAACCGTTTTAACATTTTGTATATAAGTGAGTATAATTCTTATTATCATCAGTAAATAGGCCTATATGTCGTTTGTCAAAATGAGCGAAATAAATGATTGATGTATTACTTCCAACGATTTCTTATTCATAACATCTCCGTGACAATATCAAACTCAGTTTGATTAAGTTTCTTGGAAAAAGTAGCGACAATGTTTTTTGTGGGGTTAAATAACTTTCCAATTAAGAGACCAATCTTTTTTTAGAGACTGAAAACGTATTGTTTCATTAATTATTATATACAGTGACGTATCATCCGCAAAGTTAAAAACGAATGAAATTTATGTGTTGGCAATGGATTGGTTCATTGTTTCCAAAATTTGGCATTAAATCAGGGTTATAGCAAAATGGCCATCCCTGACGTGCTGGGGATTTCTGTTTTGATGCTGACTATGAATATCAAGCCAGATATCCAGAGGACCTGGTTCTTGGTTCAAACGGATTTCTATTGGTCCTTTGGTAACAAAATAAGGCAGACACTAAAACTACTATTCGCGGACGCTTGCCATAAGGCAATGCTTGGCTTTAGGTGAATCTGCTGCGTTCATCGCATTGAAGCTTCAAAATGTGCATTAAAGATATTTAATAATTAAATGCCAACGAATACAGGTTCCTATAGCGGAACACCTGAGAAAATGGGCTTGGGACTTTGTCGTTGTAACACGGGAGCATTTAGTGCATCAGTATACATACCAATTCCTGTTACTGCTATAAGTAGACTTGCTTCTAATGGTGGTGCCCATCTTCCCCACAATGTATATATAGATGGATAAATAACACCCTGTAAATCAATGATACAAAGAAATTATGTTTCGCCCTATCAGCGTTTCCAAGTTCATCTTCGTTTGTGTGACAATAGAACAAATTGGTTTAGTGGATCAAGATAACTCTATTCTGTTTGAAAAGCAACACCAAATCAGTACGTGTTCTATCAATATCATGTAACTTGACGGAGGGGGTGGGGGTGGGGGGTGTGACAGGACAGTGTAGCTTCATATGTCCTTCCATAGAGTGAACCAAAACTAACATCTGTGTCTGTCACTGATGAAAGTGGCGTTGTTTCGGCCAAAAAACTCGACGAGCTCCCATATGTCCTTCCATAGAGTGAACCAAAACTAACATCTGTGTCTGTCACTGATGAAAGTGGCGTTGTTTCGGCCAAAAAACTCGACGAGCTCCCATTTCACATTGCAACCACATATGTTTGACTATCAGAGCGACACAAACTAACAAACATTGTGATCATAATACGGTATTAAAATATAAGACATTTGTAACAGTTTGTATTGATATGAAAAAAAACTATACGCAAAATAGCACAAAAAATCTAAAAACACCAACTAGGCCTGCAGCCAAAATTTGCTTAGAAACACAATTCTGCTACAAGGTCCTTCCTACGAAATAAACTATACATTAGTCACCATTACCCCGTCTTCATTAGCCCAGTTCGGAGCAAAACAGTAGAACGTTAAACCTCATTTCATTTCATTTCATCTCAGTCACCATTACTTCATAAACATATCGCTCAACCATTGAACCAATGCCAAACATATCTCCTTGCTCATCAGACTAGGCGCTCCGCCCATAATTTCTAGGTAAACACCCGCTCATCAACCCTTGCAGGCCCTTGGGACCCCATTAACGATAGAAATATTGGGCTTGTGTGCTCACACATGGTTTTGTGCATCATACAGCAACAGTCAACATGCACTTGAAATACTGTTATCAATTGCAGACATTTGACAGAAAGGGAGATAACTCTCTATTCCTGTAAATGGCTTTCCAAAATTCCGTATGTTCCCTTGTCCATTATGTTTTCTGCATTTTGCTTTAAATCAAAATTTAACCAATACCATATTATTTGCCGGGGATGAAGGCATTGGGTGTTTTCGCCAATATTTAATTTTATATCAACTTCACAATTGTTTGTATAAATATAGCATTTACTTGACAATTATCACAATTTTCATCTGGCCCCAAATCGAGTTATTGCAAACATTTTGCTTGGGACTCTCTGGATTTGCGTTCCTGGTGTTATAAGCTTTTCAAAAATGTATAGTTTGTTTACTAGGGAGGGCCTTGTAGCGCAACGTCACGCTAGAAATTTTGACTGCAGGTGCAAACGCGAGACACCTGTCAACGCTGCACCTTTTTGTTGAGTTTCCCCAAATTCATTTTCTAAAGATGTGCGCTTAATCTATTACGGGTAATATTTTTATCTTGTGTCCTGCCACACGTTTTTGTCTTCGTCTCTATCTGATAGAGAGTGATGAAACGTAGCGTATAGTTGATAATCAGTTTGATTGCTTGATACTTTAAAAAAAAAAAAATAAATGCGCGATTAACTAATATGTGTCATCTATTTATTTTGGGATTTCGGCGGGGGACATCAGTCTCACTGTCGGCTTGTTCAATTATTTATGGGATATCACAGAGTACGTTTTTCATTTTGTGTAGGCCTATTTTACAGTTTTTATCCTTGGTTTCACTGGTATCACTGGTATGTCAATCTCGGCTTCCAGAGAGAAGTTTACCGTTCGTATATATCTCTGGGAAAACTTAATCAGTCTTAATTCGGTTCCTAAGCCCCTCTCCTTCCAAGTGGCTCCAATCTGATTAAAATACAGATCTATATTTCGTTTCGTTTTTTTTTGTTGTTTTTTTTGTACTTTCGATGGCCTACACTACATTAAGATCTGACCAGTTGTAGTGATAGGTCGCGTCAGAGCTCATACGAGAGACTTTTGACCTATGACGTCAGACATTTGATTAACCAATCAGCATTGATGTTTCTAGTGGATTACCCACAGTTCCGTGCCCAACACGCCAAAAGTTTGCTGTAACAGACCGTTTCATTGCCTAGAACCTCATATCATCCAGAACACGCCAATGATAACAACTCTTCCGGAATCCGGATCCTAGTGTAGTAAAGACAAGTAAAACGAAATTTTGAACTATAAAAAACGAAACGAAATAGGACATGTGTTTTAATCAGATTGAAGTGGCATCTGATTGGCAGGATAAATATTTTGTTTGAATGAAATACTACAGATTTATCGACAATTAATCAGGCATCGGTTCGTCGCACGAATTATATATTAATGATCCTTGGAACATTTTCCACATCTTGACATCAAAAGTTCATTCAAAATCTGCCGATTTGATGATTTACCTGGATCTATTTTTAAGGCGCAATGTAAGTGAGTCGGCTAAATACGCGAAATTTCTGAAGAAACGCGAGTTTGAGCCGTATCTTTGTGAAGAGATGGGCGGAAGGATACACCACGTGACATTCAAAATGGCCGGCGAGTTTTTGCTAGAGATAACGGAGACAGCTCACCAAATACTCCTACGCCGACGCCGTCACCCTCGCCCTTTTGCATGGCGATCTTTTGGTGTAGAATCAATGAAAGGAGTTTGAAAATACATTTTCTGCCAGGTTTTGGTGAATATTTATGATTTTGAGGCGGAAGGATACGAGAGACAGGTAGGTTGGTTAGGTTGAAATGTAGGGCGGAAAATTGCATCTCAAGTTTTCTATTGTGAACCTCATACGTGCTTTTGAGTATGAGGTTGCCACATGTTGCTTCATCTGTGGTAGAAAGCGTTCTACCCAAAGAAATTTTGGGAAAAGTTAGAGCCGGTCTTAGATTAACAGTAAAGACATTAGCGAGTTGTATCCATACCATCGGTTATTTTTTTCATGAGTTACATATTATTAATGATCCTTGGAATATTTTCCACATCTTGACATCAAAACAACCGAAAACTAGCCAAAACAATCTATATTTCGAACGAAACAACAAATTTTATTGGGGTCTTTCTTTCTGTTTATATGCATAGATAATTAATATTCCCTAAACTTTACTCTTTTTTAAAGCTCTGAAAAAAAACAACCCGAAAATAAATGGAAGATTGAAGCAAGAAAGACAACTCTTATTGTCATCGTAATTATTTAACTGAGTGAGCGTTGAGTTGTATTACATATTGTTCAACATACATTATGCAAGAGCGAAATCTGCCTATTGTGGGTCTTTCTTTAGGTCTGAAATGTTATCTAAATTATTAATTAGACATTAATTAACTTGTCCAGATCATAATCAACTCGATGTCATCGCTAGCCTGCGATATTTACTGGATTATGACCCAATTTGCTGCTCAACTTTCATTCATGATTAAATCATGAAATGGATAATCGAGATTATGTTTTTTTTATCGTATAGACTTTAGTAATGATGATCGAGGCTAGGCCGAAAATTCTAGCGCTAAATTCTCGGTTCAGAGTGGATCAATTTGACTGAAATTTTCAGCAAATTCCCTTTACATTATCTAGTTTTTAACTATTATAGTGAGAACTGTCAGCTCTTTATCTAATCTCCTAAAATGTATCGTTACATAAACTGTTAAACTCCAGATGTTTATGATATTTTCTTTTTTTATATATGTATGGTTTATTAATATTCTCTTAATTTTGTTCTTTTTTTAATAGTTCTGAAAAGAAAACGGAAATAAATGATTATGAATGCACTATGTTCAGTGGTTTCTGGAATATCACAGTGTACGCTTTTCATTGTACAGCAATTTTCAGTGGTTCCTGTGGTATCATGGAGTATGTTTTTCATTCTGTGTACAGTACAATTTTCAATTGTTTTTTGGGGCCCACAAAGTGCCGCGTTAGTGTTTTGAACGATAATGTTAGATGTACAAGTAACGTACCTTATAATTACACTGTTTTAACTCACCCCACACAAACCGGCAATGACTCGGATTATGTAAACATAGATGACATTTTGACCTGCAGCTAATGGGGTCAGCAACGTGGCAATTCCAGCTAGCGTCATTCCAATCCCAACAACTTTTTTGGGTCCAAACTTTGAAGCTACCCATCCACCAGGAATCTGTAGGACCAAGTATCCATAGAAATAGGCACTCAATAAACCAGTTTGGGTGGCTGTATCCCAGTTCAAAGTTCCTTCCTGAAAAATAAAATAAGATAGTTACATCGAAAATATTAGAAGTGCTAGCACTTCAAATCTTCTTGTTAATATTATGTATTATGTAAGTTATCTTTGTGTAGCTAGTTATCTTACTGGTGCCGTACAATGTATTAACTGGGTGATACTTAACGATAAGGTCTTCAAAAAGCAGTTAGAATCAAAAAGATATTCGGATTAAATATATTTGGATTAATACATTAAAATACATAAAATGCAATAAAATCTAATAATTTAGTATTTAATTTACAGTGAGGCTTACATCAGATCTAGATCTTGACTGGTTATGTAAATAGGAGTTTGAAGAGTTGGTTTGATTGACCATACATACAATAGAAACACTGAGATTGGTACGTAAACTAAAGTGTGCCATGGTTCCTATAAATAAAATATAAGCGAGTTTCCATCTTTCACTCCAATAGTAAGGAACTGAAATAATAAAATAAAAAATCAATGAATTAATCACCATAAGTGTACCAGGGTCTTATAACAAAAGATTGGCTGCCAGGCATCAAAATACAAGCATACAGACGCAAAGGCTTCTTAGCTTCACTAATCTGAAGAATGCAGATAGGCTGATAACTTTTGTCAACAAGGGCCATAACTACAGATATAATTAATCAAGCAGATCGGAATTTTGGTCCACTAATTTAAAAACTGCATTTCAATCTCAAGTAGATCACTGTTGTCACTATTTGGCCTTCAAAGCCAGTGGCGGCGCCAGCCGTCGGTGATTGGAGGGGCAAAGCTGGGGCAAAGTCCAAGGTTAAGGGGGCAAAGGCACGAGCTTTAACTAGGGGTAGGGGGCCTCCCCCAGAAAATTTTGAAAAACAGGTTGCTGGAAATGCAGCCTGGCAGTATTTCAGGCACTGATCGATGAGGTAAAGTGTCAAACGAACGGACTTGCGAATCACGACGAAGCCCACTCAAGCGCGTCAAAGTAGGGAGTCCTCCCTCAGAAAATTTTGAAAAATAGACTGCCGGAAATGCTGTCTTACAGTATTCGGTCAGGCACCGATCGTCGAGATAAATAGGTCTGACCAGATACCGTCCGTCGCCTGATCACTAGTTTATCCGACTAGAGAACAAAGTGTCAAACGAACGGACTTGCGAACCTCAACGAATTCCCCTTGTGAGCGCCAAAGTAGAGAGTCCATTGGGGACCTCGCCAAGAAAATTTTGAAAAATAGACTGTCGGAAATGCTCTACAACATGCAAGTTTATGGCTGAGTGGGGATGTGGGATTTATTCACCGTAGAAGGTATTAATTACCGAAACGTATCACAAATATTTTTTTTATTTTCTAAAATTATTGGTGTGGGGGGGCAAACAGAGGGCAGACCAGATTAATGGGGGGCCCCCCTTGCCCCCCCTCCCTGGCGCCACCACTGTTCATAGCCTTTTACGGAGTGAATATGGGCAATATGTTAGCATAAGAAATCGTTTCTCTGTCTCGCTGATGTAAACAATATTTATACATTTTGAAATGTGCACATGAAATATTTAATCTGTAGAGTGTTTACAAGTAATTGCGTACCGATCAACCGGTGGACGAACGGTTGTGAGGACATTATACGACCACATTTACAGACATCAAACTCCACGAAAAATAATCTTTGAGTGGCATTTAGTGATCGGGAAACACATTAAGAGAACATTAATGTGTTTCCCGATCGCTAAATGCCACTCAAATATTATGTTTAACGTCAATGTGGGGATGTGGCGATTAAGTGTGTTCGTCAGTTTAGTAAACGTGACGATAAATATATAAGAGTGTGTAATAAATTACGTATATATTGACCCAGGGGCGGATTGGCCCATCGGGCGATCGTCCGAAGGGCCGATCGGACAAAAAATGAAAAAAACATTTTCTGCTGAACATTAAATGGGAGTGGTTGGGGGGGGGGGGTATTGGACCGGCCATGGAGCGATGATGATCATGTTGTATGTGGTGGGTGGCGTTAAAGGGACCGCCACGCCATCACTGGAGTCTGGAATGGGCTGGTATAATAGACTTTCTGGGCCGGGTGTGCAATGGGGATTCCAAATTTCATCCGAAAATTATTAAGTCACCTGCACCCTGTTTGTGGGGATATGCCAGAAACGTCTGCCGATGGTTTATAACTCCCCCCAAAAAAATTCAATTTTAGGGCCTCAGCAAAATTTTATGATAGCTGGTCTGCTGGCTGAATATGTAAATTACTTGCAGGTCGGGGTTTTGGCCTAAATTAATCGATTTATGAGATATATTATTTGACAGAGATTATAATCAGAAATGCCACCAAATCGCATATTTGGGGGTCATTTTTCAAAATTATCCGTCCGGGCTCCGCGGTCAGTAAAAGGGGCCGCTCCGACACGGGAGCCCGGGCCGGTTCCTGGCCCAAATCCGCCCCTGTATTGACCTCAAGTTTACCAAATGTCATTGTGCTTGATAACGATAAGGATACTTGTCGAAACGTCATGCTTATAGATTAAAACTAATGATTGTATCCCATAAAAACCGTGTTCTCTCCACGAAAAATCATTTATAGATAAAATGCAACTCGTTTAACGTTGTAGCTCATTTTTATAATGCCCTCAACAATCGGAGTACCATGAACACATGTATAGTATATATCAGTATATCCCATCTCAATACAAAAGAATCCACATACCTTTCGATATTGCGTCCTCATTTCTTCCTTTGCTTTCTAATAATGGTGTTTTTTCACTGGACATTTTGAAAAGTTTTATAGTTTAGTTTATAAATCGAAATATACTTAAATATACTACAGGTATTTGGGGTATTTTGCTATTAACTTCCGTTTACATACACACATCACATTTTGTTATCGCGCCAAAGTCATCAAGGGATTTCGTATCGATAAATAAAAACTACATGAAACTGTGCGTAGAAGAAAACGCTGCATTTATTGGCGTAGTAATCAAACGGATATAAGAGATTAATAAAAAGTGACATTGTATATTGACAATGGTCAGGTATACTATCTATTTTATATAGACCAGAATAGACAAACCGTTATACGAATGTAAACACACATTATAAACACACGGCTGATGCTAAGGGTGTAGAGATACGCACACTGGGGTTATAACCCCTAAACGCATAATGTTCGCTATATAGGTTTTACATCCATATAGAAAGTCGGTGGACTTCTTGAAACATATGTTCAACCAATTTGAGCACCGTCACGATGTAGCCTACATATCCTTAAACTATGTGTCATTTGTAACTGATTTTATTGACTCAATCGTTACCACAGCATCACGTGATTTTACGTGATTTTAAGAAACTACGGGTCTAACCACGGCCTCGTATATAAGGCTCTGGGTCTATTTATAGAACTTATCGTGACCGCAATCTATTTATTAAAATATATTACTCCTTGCCTACAGTCGGTATCTACATCATTGTTTCCTACCTAACATCACGTGGTTTCGCATGACTTACTTTTCATAATGAACAACACCATGTGCACATCAACAGGCCAGCACAAGTAAAGAAATAAAATTATATTTGGGTTAATCAATTGAATCAGCTGATGAAACAAATAAGCAAGTGACGGTCTAAAATTCCCCCTGAAATGTGTGTCGAACGTGGAAACTAAGTAATAATGAATGATAACGCGATAATGATAACGGAAGCTCATTAGCGCAATATCCAGCGATCTATGGTCTTCTAATCTGGAGTCCGCCTCCACCCATACACCCTACCCCAAATCGTCTCGAAAACACCTTTTTTCATCCGATTTTGTTCGAACAGATGGTGAAACATTGCGTTCATGAAGGTGTGAACTCTATTTAAAATTCAGCGATCCGCGACATTCAGTTCAGGAGTGACCCCACTCCCCCACCACCTCCTCCCACCACCCGAAAATTTGGCAACAATTTGGTTTAAAGAGTTGGGTCCATGCTATTGAGTGTTTCGTGGCCTTCATTTCAGCCCACTCCCCACTTTCTGAAAACTTTCTTAGTGTATTATATACTATATACAGATTGTAATAGCTTTTTTGTAGTGTGAAGCATTAGGACGAATAACGCAATTGAAGCATTGGGATCGGAAAGAACGTACCCTAATGATTTTCAGCAATCTATGATTTTCGGATGCATAGATATAGTTTATTGTCCGGAGAAGCTTGCGAACACGATAGAGATTAGATTTCTTGAAGGATCACAGATCCCTATTAAATATGGTTAGCCCAAGCCTCTGTAGATATGTACGGGTGCGTTCACGTCAATCATAGCAAACTGTAAGCCGTATATGCCCGTCTTCCTTATCCCAGTCGGAGCAGAACCATTTCATTTCATTGACATACTTCATGTCAAGGTAACGGGATTTTGCTTAACCAATCTTCCATAATAAATGAATGTACAAAAAAAAATATGTTAGCTATCAGAACAAAGCTCTCTTATCACTGATTGTAAAATGACGTTTAATTATATAATTGGTTTAGATTTTATTAATTCGGTGGATGAGTATAAAATGTCACCTGAACTTTGAACGGAAATGGGTTCAGTTGACCAGTTGAATGTATTTTGTTATGTAATGCACGGTTTTCACGTGGGCTACGAATGCTATACAAATCGCCCCGAATAGTGGCGATTCGGCAAAAAAAAAAAGATCGTGGATAATCTGGATCAGTTACGAAGCAGTTACGAAGGTTTCCCCTTGTCAGTGATACAGAACGGAGGGCCTGACAAGTACAGCTGCCTAGTCGTTCGGATGGGACGAAAAACCGAGGTCCCGTGTACACATTGGCGTGCACGTAAAAGATCCCTTGGCAGTTGGAATTCGATATAAGAGTAGGCCGTAGCGCCGCTGCCCGGGCAAAATTTCCCTCATAGCACACTGTATATATGCCCGTCTTAAATTAGCCCAGGTTAGGTGCAGAAGAGTAGGACGTTAAACCCCATTTCATTTCATTTCATTTCGTGGGCAATCGGGTGAAAATATGCCGGATGTCAAGGCAGTGTTGTACGAAATCAAAGAATCATCTATACGAATCGAAGCGATTCAGATACGAATGAGTTACGGATATGCCGATTTGCTACGAATATGTCCCGTCCCAAAATGATCACGTGAGCGTTTTAAATGGACGTCATTTAGGGCAGTGATCTATTCTCGAAGTATGACGTAGATGGATCGCTGCGTACAGTATGCTACGAACTGCTACGAACAACACGAAGGTGTAAGAATCACTAAAGAAGTTCAAGAACCGTGAAAACGGATTACGAAGGGTTTATGTTTCAATAATCAATTACTTACTTCAAGAACCGTCTACAATTTATCTACGATTAGGAAAAAGTTTGGATTCTGTGCATTCGCAGCCCACATGAAAGCCGGACATAATCATAAACCCGAGGAAAATAAATAAAAAAAGAAAAGCTTTCTTATATAGTAAATTACATCTTTATAAACAAATAAATAAATTACATTTTCATTTCAATAAATGCATATATATTTATAAAGGGCGTATAGCCCTATTCTTTGGAACTTTAAAATAGACGGAATGGGGCTTAAAGCACATATTGTATACACGCACATATGAGTGTATGTAAAGTGATTTATATTCATTTTTTTTAAAACAAAAATATCGTCAATGTGTTAATTATCGTTGATATTCATGATCATTGTCTACATTAAAATAATTATTGTCAATATGTTAACATCGTTGATCTTCATGATCATGTTTTGATACATTAACAGAATTATCGTCAATTGGAACTTTTATAACAGATTGTGGATTTTCTATGATTATTTCTATATGTTTAGCAGCCCATGGTTGAATGTCTGATCGTGCTAACATAACATATAATACAGCACTCAATAACGCTATGCCTCCGCCCAAATAAAACACATTTCTCCATTCTTCTTGCGATTTCTGGAAGTAGAGAAATTGAGCTTTACAACACATATCAACAATAACTATGAAAACTATTTAGATGAAGAAATGGCTGTGGAAATGAAATGAAAAGAAGTTGAACATCCGACTGTTCTATTCCGAACGGGGCTAATGAGGACGGGCATACGCTATTAATACAGTGGACTATGAGCTAAACTTTGCCCGTGCAGCTACGCTAGGCCTATTCTTATATCGAATTCCAACTACCAAGGGATCCTTTACGTGCACGCCAATGTGTACACGGGACCTCGGTTTTTCGTCCCATCCGAACGACTAGACCGTCCTACATCTGGATGAACTTTCTCGGCCAATGCAATGATCGAACACCAGACCTCCAGGCTAGCGAACCAGCGTCTTACCCACTAAGTCGCCGGTTTAAATTAAAGTTAAAATTTCATATTTTCTAAGAAAGTCAAAACATAATTATTTCTAGTATGTCTTTTGCTCAATTGGTTGTCAACTCACTATTATACGGTCATAGGTTATCTTTCTCAAACCTAAAAAACTTCACACCGGAAATAATAACACAATTACCTCCCAATTACCTCCCTTGTTCCTATTCCCCACCATGGAATAGCTATCATCAAACGTTTGAATTTGAAGTTGAAAATGATATTTTTGCCAATTTCTTAACTGGCAATAGTGAATTATAGGATTAATAGGATTTTTCTTCAACAAGGTAGGACTGTTTATAGATACCATCTATTTTAGGGCTTTATTTTAATACATTTTAAAAATATAACTTAAAAATATGAAATTGTAACTTTAAAAGGTCCATGGTTTGAACAATTGCAACGTTTATTCATGAATCTTAAGATAACAGAGAGGTATAACAACAGTTTATATACTTACACGTGGTGTCAAGGCACCGGCTACTATTGGTGCTATCATACCAGGAAATCCACCAATAAAATTACTAAAACTACAGATGATTCCCGCATATCTAAGATGTATCAATAATTGACAAATATCAAAGGGATATAACAACTATGTCCCATTTTTAAAGTTCGGTATCATGTTTACAACAAAAAAAACCCAACGTTTTAAAATCATATAAAGTTTATATTACCTTGGTGCAAAATCCAATAAATTAGAACTATAGCCTGCCATAGAGAAACCATTAAATGCTGTACTAATTGATAAAAATACCACAGCTAACGTTCTTTGTTCTTTAGATATATAACCAGTTCCCATTAAAAATCCAGCAGCTCCGATGTAAGCTTTAAGAACATAATTAATTGAGACTTATACAAAACGGCTTCAATATCCTTCAGATGACGTATATTTAAAGTCTACCATTCGTAGACACGGGCAATTTAGCAAAGATGGAAAACTAGCATCTATTATGTTCGAACATCAAAATTATGTTCGAACATCAAAATTATGTTCGAACATCAAAATTATGTTCACAGAAATCGGCCGAACGACTTTCCTTTCCGCTTTATTTCTATTAAATCATTAAATGGGATAATCGCGACTAAATAAGTAACGACAAATACCGAACACGGAGAAATCTGTTCGGGGCGTTTCCAAGAAAATCGACGAATCTCATTCGGAACTACCGGATCCTGAACTTCCCGTACAGTAAATGATTGAGCTATACGTTTGTCCTTATGGAAACGATACTTATTATGTATGGAATAAATGCATGATTGTTTAAATAAGGTGTTCTATACCTGTCAGTTGAAATAATCTACGTGTACAAATCGTACTCAAAATTTTCTTCTGTCTAAGTTTATCAGCTATATAGCAGACGAGGAGGGCTGACATTGCTTCAAGTAAAACTGGTAAACACGATAAAAAACCATTCTAGAAAACGGAAAATAACACCAAAATTTCAGCGGTGATAACGATTTGCATTCATTCAACAAAACCGAAAGCTTGTTTATGGTGACGTTTCAATAATCAAGATGTTATAACATTTCATTATTTTTTATTATGATATTATTAAAACCAGATCATATGGCTACCAGGGAAATGTCGTTACGTCCAGAAGGTCATTTTATGTTCTTAAGACCATCGTAAGGTAAGTCACCGAGCGACTCCTAGAGATAGACGTTAGAATTACGTTATATTGTTTTAGGATTTTTTTTTTACTTACCGATTTGATATCATATTTTAAAACATCATGCATAAATGTTGGCATACATGTTAATAATGAATTATCTAACCAATTTGAACAAAAATTACACACACTGCAAGCCCAAGTAGCTGGACACATCAGTATAGCAAGCCAGGGTATTGGAGTCTCTGTCTATATAACAAGAAAAGACAACACGAAAGCTTATACATAATATTATTATCACAACTAATAACTATAACTTCAATCCATTCACCTAATTACTAATTGCTGTATGCACCCTGTTGACAGGAA